CAAGCCAGCGACACCAGAGCCAGACAACGTTACATCCGCAACAGAGGCAGAACCAAGTGAGGTATTTCACTCAAGCGATGGCCGAGAAGACACAGATGTCAGCGATCCTGATACGATTGAGGTACACCAGTTGTCGAGTACACTTAACAAGGCGGTTAGTGTGGACGAACCGAATGGACCAGCTGCGAGGGCGGGTTGGATTCTTTGGGACTAGGAGGTCAATAGATGAGGTGGATATCCAGTAAGGATGGTAGAAGAGAGGATAAGCCGTAGAGCAAGATTACTCGCGAAGCATTATGTTTGGTGTTTGGCATGGGATTTGAGTAGCATTGAGATATACCATTCATATAAAGCATATTTAATTTATTTTTAAATTAAAGAGGTGAAATCTCGATCTTTTACGTGAGCGCTGTGTCGGTAGAGGAGTGGGTGTTTGGGACACCGATCTCAACACCGGATACCCTGAAGTCATGATAAATTTACATAAACTACGTCAACTTCTAGAATCTCAACAACGATATATACTAATTTAGTATAGCTTTATAAACTTTAGGGAGAATTTCTCATAAAACTTTCATAATTGAGAAGAAATCATAAATTGAGTCAACGTTAGTTCATGCTGAAACATCAAGGTACCTTACCCAACGTCACCACTAACGCCCATGGATGATTTTGGACGGTGTGTCACTCAATATCATTTACCTTTGCGTTTTTGCATTGATATGATTGCTTGGCTTGGCGTGCCATTTTCTGTTGAGACTTGTGGCTGAGAGCTTATATCACCACCAAAAACTTAGATCCTCTCCACGTCGAGTACTTGTGTATATGTAGATATCATGTCCACCAAAAAGGCATTGCTTTTCGACACTCACCCTCATCCTCGCGATGTTGTTTTTCCTCTTCGTCCTGATATCTGTGGCCAACGCCCTCGTCCTCAAGCATCACCGTCCCCATGACGACTGGGATGCCATTGTGATTGGAGGCGGTCCAGCTGGTCTCTCTGCCCTGAGCGGTCTCGCAAGAGTGCGCAGACGTGTTCTTCTTATCGATTCTGGGAAATACAGAAATGGCCAAACGACACATATGCATGATGTCATCGGCTGGGACGGTAATCAGCCTGACCTATCTGCTTAGCCTGCTAGATTCAACGAACTGATTGACTGACTTTGTAAATAGGTGTTCAGCCAGCGTATTTCCGTCACGAAGCCCGCCGTCTCCTCAAGCACTACAAGACCGTCAAGATGATAAACGGAACTGTAATCGATATAAAACGCCTCCCCGGCAACGACACACGCTTCTCCGTCTCCCTTGAACATAACCCCAACTCAATCATACAAAAGGGCAAAGGATTTTCAGCGCGCAAAATCGTTATCGCAACTGGTCTAAAAGACATTCTGCCCTCCACGCCCGGGATCGCGGAGAATTGGGGCAGGGGAATCTATTCGTGCCCCTGGTGCGACGGCCACGAGTATGCCGACCAGCCCCTCGGTCTTTTATGCCCTCTCGATAAAGTGGCCATCTACGTCAGAAAAATCCTCACGCTCGACACTGACATCGTTGCCTTCGTTAACGGAACTGACAACGATGTGATGAGGAGAGTCGCTGACGCGCAATTTCCCCAATGGGAGGAGTATCTTAAGCTGCATAACGTGACGATAGATAACCGCACCATTACTTCTCTGGAGCGCCTCAAGGAGGGTGAAGAAGTTGATAAGAGCCCGCATTTACCGTCGGTTCCGAAGGACGATCTCTTCAGTGTGCACTTCACAGAGGGTGAGCCCGTGCAGCGCGTTGCCTTCCTCTCGAGCTTCCCCAGCAGACAGCGATCGGATATTGGAGAAAAGGCCGGTGTTTTGCTGACGAAGGGGAACTTGGGGGTTATCAGCGGCACCATGCTCACGAGCGTGCCCGGTATTTATGCAGTGGGCGATGCGAATTCTGGCAGTGTGCCTAATGTCCCGCATGCGATATTTACAGGGAAGAGAGCCGCTGTGGCAATTCATGGTAAGTACCTACTAACGCTCTTTTAGATGAGGCTGTGTGCTGATTATGTGTAGTGGCGCTTGAGATCGAGAAGCAGGCTGCGGAGCTTGCTGAAATAACAGAGTCCTAAGTTTACTTCAATTTATATAGATTATGTAAAAACTTATGTAACTTTGGTAAATTTATGATGAGTTTAGGGTTGCTGATGCTAAAATAAGACGACTTTTTGAGAAATACATGGTCAAGATCACAAAGGTGCTACTCCGTAGTCATGACGTTGTGTGACTATTTCAGCATAAATTGGCTTTGGTATAGCCAGCCATATCCCATTGAGAACCTTGTTGTCTAATAGAAACACATAGATAGATGTTCCCGTTCAACAGCAATGGCACAATCAATGCCCATTTTATAAGCAAGCCAGAAACTGATCAAAGTTGAAACTCAAACTCCCCTATCCTCATCCCACTGCCCAAGCAACCCCTCAAGCTGCTCATGCCTCTTCAACGCCTCCTCAAAACTAACCAGCCCATCCCCCTCTCCCTCCGCAAACGCCTCATAAACAGCCGCTACACCCCTCGCCAGCAGCGGAATATCCTGCTGCCACTCCTCCCACTTCCACTCAACCTGCTCCACAACATCCCTCTCAAAATCATGTACTTCAATAATAACAGGCTTCTCATAAGCCGAAGCGCCATGGAGTGTCGTGCCGGTAAAGACTTGTACTCTGATCTCGCCCTTTTCGCCGGCGATGGCTATGCTCAGGTGAGGAGAGCCGGGGAAGGGTTGACCGCGGCGGAAGCGCACGAGGACGGCGGCGTCTTTTTGGGCGGTGGGGGATTCGGAGAGACGGCCTGTGGCGAGGATGAGGTCGGGGGCGTTGGATGTTGTTGTGTGGGTTATTTCGTTGGTTTTGGGATCGCGGACGCGGATGTTGGGACGTTGGTTGTGCAGTGTGCTTTTGAAGTCGGTGATGTCTCCGATGATGGACTGGAACTGATCAAAGACTGAATTGTTAGTTGCTGCTGAGCCTCTCCGAAAATGGTGACTTACTGTGTCCGAGACCAATGGTAAAGATATTACCCCCAACAGCCCGCTGGGTAAAATACTCCAAACTCGACGGCAGTATCTCCCTATCATTCGTCCCTCCAGAGGCATACAACTCTGCACTAACAACCTTGCCAATCCGCCCTTCTTTGATAATCTCTCTCAGCTTCTTAATCGGCGGCGCATACCGTCCCTGCAACCCAACAATCGTCCTCACTCCCTTCTCCCTCGCTGCATCAACAAGTTCCCTCGCATGCTTAACATCCTGCGCAAGCGGCCACTCCACGTATAAATCCTTGCCAGCCTTGACACTCGGAAGAGCACTTGAATGATGAACATCAACACGCGTAGCTACAACGACCAACTCGACGTCTTTATCAGCGGCTAAATCTTCTGGTGTACCGTAGGCCTTGGTCTCGGGCGGGAGATTGTAATGCGCTATGGCGTTCTTGGCAGCCTGCAGGGAAGAGTTTTGGAGGGCGACGATTTGGTACTTTGAGCGGCCGAGGGCTGAGTTCAGGTACTGGAGATGGGTGTTTGACGCCCATGACGTTTTGGCGGAGGATGAGAGGCCGATGATGGCCGTGCGAATTGGGGCCATGGTGAGTTATTTGAGGATAGTTAAGATTATAGTTTGTTTATTGTTTCAGGTGAAGGCTTTTGGGTTGATTTGGGGGTTTTTATATCTTGAAATGATGTTGTTGGTGTTGGAGATGGTGTCATTGTGATTTCTAATCGTTGATTTGTAAGGCGAGATCATTGGTGAAACTGATGTGCTCAGATGCAACTCAATGTGGAATTCAATTGGCTAGAGATTAGTTGTAAGATATTTCTGAAAGGAATAATAACGTCTGACAGTTAGAAGGTCTATTACAGTGCATTCTGTTTGGGAGGTCAAGTTCGCGTTAATTGACAGCCAACCAATCAGATTTAGGTGAGGCTGACTACCAAACATCCATGGATGCGCATAGCATCCCTGAACAGACTTGACCATATTCTGACAACAAACTCCAGAGTTAGGAGTCAAACTGAACCATGGTGATCCTTTCATACATTACTTATCCCTTCACAGCCTCCCCCTTGTTCAATGTCACTGGCCGCCTCGGCAAAGTCCCAAACACCAAGATCCCACTGCCGAGCATTCGCCCTACCGTCAATCCTACATCGTAAAAGGGCGACCAATCACTTCTCCAAATCATGAGATGCAACGTGGAAACCATGTCCAACTCCCTCCAAACGGCAGCAATTCCGCTTCGTGTACCTGAATGCAACGTTCACCTACCGACACCCGCAAGCTAAGCCCATACAGTAAATCACCGAACTACCTCCAACCAATAAACCCAAAATGATCTGGTAAAACTAAAACAAATCCTCGATGGTTTGTTCTAGTGCTCCTCTTTGTTTTAGCTTGTGATTGTGGAACCCGTCAGGGCAACGTCAAGGTGGTGGCTGAGCAGCAAAAAGCGCACGTACCCACCAGTTTCACATCCTTTCAATACGAGAAACCATTTTTCCATCGCTAGGGGATGAAGTCGTCGTCACGATCTGGACTACTCTCTTAGGGCTGCAGGAACTTATTCTGAGCTTGAGTGAAGTATGCCTAACTCAGAGTCAGCCTTGTCTCCACAACTCAATTTAATTTCCCTTTAACCTTCTTATTATAGACTCTCTGGTGACATTATGTAAACAGACCTCGATGAAACTGGACGCACGTAAGTCTGCTAACTCGTTTAAGAAGGCAGTTACTGTGATAATGCATCTGGCCTCATTGTGAAAAAATTCACGAGACACCAGGGAGACAAGATTGGTTGGTCACATACCTATCCAGCTGTCATGTTTTCTTTCACCCCTAGCTCCGCGGGGCACTATGACTTTCAATTCGTCCAGAGGCAGCCCAAGTAATCGCGGATATGTATATAGTGCCTAACATAATCATATCATGAATATCTTCATCCTTCACACATCATCGAATCATGTTCTCATCCACAAGACTATGGTTCCGGCAACTGCAAGCCCTGATAAGGAAAATCTTCCTGATTGCACTCGTCAAGCACTGGCTCTCAACACTCCTCCGAGCTCTCCTAATCCCCGTCCTGATTCTCGTTCTAGTCCTCCAAATCCAGAACTTCACAGGCGATGGAAGCAGGTATGGCGTTGGAGAGCCATCTCCCATCCCAAGCCTTGCTGAGACTGTTCCGTCTGGAACAAAACTTGTTTTTGTGCAGGGTTCGAACGCGGGGTCTGATGTTGGTGGTGTTATTACCAAGATTAAAGATGGGCTGAAGGGGACTGTTGAAGTCGCTGATAGTGAAGCTGATTTACGAAAACGATGTCCCACGAGTTTAAGCGGTGTAACGAATTGTTACGCTGCTGTTATTTTCAACGATTCACCTCTTAGCAAAGCGGGTAACAAGACGTGGAGTTACACCATCAGGGTTAGTTCAGCACGAGCATCAACCAAATTCGACATCACGACGCCTTCCAAGAACCACTACGCACCGCTCCAACTCGCCGTCGAAAACGCCATCACGAACTCAACCACGACTCCGAATAATTACATGTTTACACGGATAACACAAGATCAAGCTGCTGAGATAAAGCGTCGTAACTTTGCGGCGACTATGGTCGGCGGTTTTGGAATCGTGTGTTTCCTGAGTATGATTTCGTCGGTGTTTCATATCATCGGCATGATATCGACTGAGAGAGAGGCGGGTATGGCGCAGTTGATTGATGTGATGACCGGTGGTGCTGCGTCGGCGAGGGTGTTGAGTTATCTTGTTGCTTTTAATATCATCTACCTACCTAGTTGGATCATCTTTGGAGCTTGTAAGTACAAAATATTATCGTCCCGTCTAATCTGCTAACGATAGTAGTGTATGCAGCCCTCCTTGTCCCAACCTCGAACGCCGGTATCGCCATCCTCTGGCAGATCCTCTCGGGGCTATCCCTCACAAGCATGAGTGTCTTTGCAGCCACCATCAACATCCGATATACCGCCATCTCCATGGTCATCGTCCTAATGCTCCTCGCCACCCTCTGCGAAATCCTCGACTCGAAACCCGAAAACGTCCCAGCGCTTATCGTCCTAATACTATCTGCCATCTTCCCAAGTTCGAATTACATCTTCTTCCTGAACCAACTCTGCCGAAACGAGGCCCAAGGTCTCGCAACGAATATATCGAAACCCGCTCCCCATCAACCTCGCATATACGAAGTTACAGTATCTTTGTTATGGGGGCTGCTCCTCTTCACCATAGTGTTCTACCCCCTGTTAGCTATTCTTATTGAGAAGTGGTCTCATGGTGTTAGCAACAAGGGTAGAAAGTTCTCAAGCGCCAACGCGACCGATAATCCAACGGCTCTTGAGATCGTGGACCTCACAAAAACATATAAACCTTCGCTTTGGAGACGATGCTGCCGAAGAGCTCGCCCCACGATAGCTGTCAACTCACTTAGCTTTTCCATGCAGAGGAAGCAAGTCTTGTGTCTTCTTGGTATTAATGGTTCTGGCAAGACAACAACACTAGGTTTGATTGCTGGTACACAAAAGCTCACAAGTGGCTCGATAAATGTCAATGCCCCTCGCTCAAACCTTGGTAAGTCTATCATCACGACTTAGTTCTTGAACTAACTCGCAAGGCATCTGCCCTCAACGCAACATCCACTGGCCAGAGCTCTCGGTACTCGAACACGGTAGACTTTGGGCCATGATAAAAGGTGGAGCAACAGATCTCCAATCTCTAGACACCCTCGTCGAATCCTGCGACCTCTCTCTAAAGAAGCACAGTCCTGTCGGTACACTCAGCGGAGGTCAGATGAGAAAGGTCCAAATGCTATGTATGTTAGCAGGCGGTAGTTCAATCTGCCTCATGGACGAAGTAACCACCGGTATGGTACGTAACTCCATCAAATTAAACTGCACTCACTAACGGGTATAGGACCCTGTCTCTCGAAGAGCAATGTGGAACATCATCCTTGCCGAACGTCAGAAGCGAAGCCTTGTCCTCACGACCCATTTTCTCGATGAATGCGAAGTTTTAGCCGATCAAGTCGTCATTGTATCGCACGGCCACGTCAAGTGTCAGGGTTCAACTGCAGCACTGAAGAATCTTCACGGAGGAGGTTATCGCGTACATTTACCCGGCGTTCAGAATCCGCCGGATACACCGTATGCCACGACTGTGCACCAAGGGCAGACTGTGTTTAACATTCCCGATTCGACATCTGCTGCAACGCTTTTGACGTCTCTACAAGCAGCAGGGTACTCTGACACGTCATTGAGTGGACCTACCATGGAAGATGTCTTCCTCAAGGTTGCCGATGAAGGTGAGGACGACGATGTGGGAACTTCTGACTGGAGTCCTTTTCTTGAAGGGAACGAAACACTGAACAGTCAGCTCAGTTCAGGGACGCAAGCTTCGTTCCTCCAACAACTCTCAGCTCTCCTCCTCAAGCGTCTTTTAGTTTTGAAGAGAGGCTTCTGGTGGTATATTCTCGCTTTAGCGATTCCACTAATCTTCACACCCGTCTTCAGCGCCATGGCCAACGATCCCACTCCCTTCCAACCAACGCCCTGCGTATCAACCGACTCATCCATTCTCGACGAGCCATGGCCCATAGCTCTTCGCCCGAACGGCTACTATGATCTCGCAGGTTCCGATAATATCACCATGCTCGTTGGCCCAAACACTCTCAACAAGACTTTCTTTCGCTCATTGTCAAAGTATCCTATCGGGAAGGAGTACGACATGAAGGACTACCAAGAACAGTTCCAGTTTCAAGATGACTATGATGCTTTCTTGAAGCAAATTCGTGATAAGCCGAGACAACTTGTACCCGGAGCGCTGTACATAGATGGGAAGGATAAAGATACGCTTGCGTATAACGCCGAGCATGGGGCTGATGGATCGATGTTGATGCTGAATATGTGGAGTCAGCTGAAGAGTGAAACTCCAATTTCTCTTTCTTTTGCATACTTCAGCTCTTCGATACCGGTATGTGACCCTATGTTTTGTCTGGGCTCACTGACCATATAAATAGTCTGACCCTGGCCCTGGCATGTTTCTCGCTATCGTAGGTCACTTTTCACCTGTTGAGTTGATTAACACTAATGTCTCCTAGTTACTCACCGTCCTGCATGTCCTCTACCCGGCCTTCTTCGCTCTATACCCTGCGTACGAACGACTTCGAAAGATTCGAACCCTACAATACTCCAACTCGATCCAACCTCTTGCCCTATGGACATCCCACATCATCGTCGACATAGTCTTTGTTATTCTCATCTCCTGCCTATCAACCTTATTTATCTCTTTGATTATTCTCAAGTGGTACGGCGCTTGGCATCTCTTCCCTGTTATGCTTCTGTACGGCTTTGCAATGATGCTCTGGTGTTATATAATCTCCCTATTTGCTCGGTCAGAACTCTCGTCTTTTGGCATATCATTCTGTGTTTCGCTTTTGATGTTTGGTATCTCCGTCGCAGGACTCATGGTATGTCACTTCACCCATCCCAAGAAAACGCATGCTGACTTGTCAGATTGCCTCTGTCAACCAAAACCCAGGCAATAGATCTTCATCCATGGACACATCGGTGTTCATTCTTGGTCTTATCTTCCCTGTCGCCAACCTCTTCCGCGCCATGGTCGTCGGCCTCAACGTCTGGGCCGCAGGATGTCGTGGTGATGCAGTGATAAGCTATCCCGGCAACATCCATGCCTACGGCGGCCCGGTTCTTCTCCTCTGCATTCAAGTCGCATATTTGTTTGCTATTTTGTTGCTACTTGACGGAAGAACATGGACTCTCCGAACTTTGTGGGCAGAGCATGTCGTGCCGCTGTATCAGAGGAGGAGGATCAGCGGGAAGGATGCTCACATTGAGATGGCGCCGATGACAAAGTCTCGAGGCATGACTGGGAACCTGGTCGATGTTGATCAGATTTATAAGTCATTTTGTGGTAATGTTGCTGTTGATGGTGTATCGCTCACTATGGCGAAGGGCGAGTTATTGGGTAAGTGCTGTACGCAACCCCTGTCTCCAACTCAACTAACACCAAACAGCGCTTCTTGGGCCAAATGGAGCCGGCAAGACGACTACTATCAATATGATGCGAGGTGAAGTTCGCCCAGATTACGGCAACATCTACATCAAGGGCGTGGATATGCAGAAGGATACTCGAGCAGGGCGACAGAGCATTGGCTGTAAGCATCGACATATGTTAGACCTTTTCACCTACTGATCACTTTATAGATTGCCCACAGTTTGACGCCTTGGATCAAATCACTGTCCGCCAACAGCTCGCTTTTTACGCTCGCGTCAAGGGTATCGCAGATGTTCAGAGGAACGTCAACTTGGTCATGTCCAAGGTTGGATTGAGGCCTCACGCCGATAAGCTGACATCTCGGTTATCTGGCGGGAACAAGCGAAAGTTGAGTCTGGCTATTGCGTTGCTAGGTATGATATATCGCCTAACACCACCGAACAAAACTAACAAGTACAGGCAACCCGCCAATCCTCATCCTGGATGAACCGAGTTCAGCGATGGACCCTATAGCTAAGCGCGACATGTGGGCTATGCTATCCGGCATTTCATCAAGCCGCTCAGTTCTATTGACGGTAGGTGCCTACCCTCTCAGATTATATCAAAGTATTAATAGTTTGCAGACACACTCGATGGAAGAAGCAGATATGCTAGCAACACGCGTCGCAATCCTTTCAAAACGCATCCTCGCCGCTGGCACAATCCAGGAACTCCGCAACAGACACAGCAACTCCTACGAGGTACACTTGGTACTAGAATCAGCACCATCCTCTGACCAGATGGAAATGCAAAAGGTCGAAGCATGGATTCGCAAGACGTTTCCAGGTGCTAACTTTAGAGGGTTGAGTCTGGGCGGACAATTCCGTTTCAGTATACCGGCTAATAGCACTGCCGATGAGGCCTTTGCTGCGTCGCAGAATAGAAAGGGCCAGGTTGTTGAGGTGATTGAGACTTTGGAGCACCATAAGAAGAGTATGGGTGTTGCGCATTATACTGTTAGTATGGGGACTTTGGAGATGATATTCTTGAAGATTATCGAGGACTATATTTTGTATTAGCCTTTTAATCATAGCCATCTAGCGTTTCGTTCAACAATCTGCTTTCAATTGTTAATAACTGAAAGAATATATCCAATGCATAACTCTAGAGATTCCCATAAACTTACGTGCCTGGAATCTTTCTGGGATATCTGACAGAAATCATCCGACATCGGGATATATGGACCGGAATCGGGCTCATCCGTTCCGCGGATGGTGTCTAAGACAGGATATGCAGCCATCATATCAATTGACTGAAATCACGATGACCGACAAGATCAAGCTTTCAACCAAGACCAATGGCTAGAAACACGCATATGCCCCGACGTCATAATAGAAAGCTATAGAACCCAAGCCCCGGCGAGGAACGGGCCGCATTCCAGCATCAGTCTCCTTTGGACGACATGATCTACTTGAGGGGTAAAGAGGGGTTCAGAAACCTGTCTCATACCGTTAGGAAAATACAACGTCGATCATACGAACTGTTACAGCTGAAAGCTTCACCGCAAGACGCCAACATCTCAATTTGACGTTAGGAGAAATGACATCTCAGTGCTGATGAGAAGACAAAAGGTTTCTTGAAAAGAAACAAGAGTGAAGATTGGAGATGAAAGGGTATAATAGTCTTGACTACTGCCACTAATACTATCTGTCTCGCCATCCACGAAACAACTCGACACTCAAGCACCAGAAGTCTCCTATAACTCACCCCAAGAAAATCATTCAAGTCAGTCTCTTCTTCTCTTCCCAATTGCTCCCACTAAAGCCCTTAGAATGCCGTACACCGTCAAAGTCCGTGTCTATCAGACCAATCAAAACGCCTACTTCCGCGTCGTCGAGACGGTCTGCTAGCACTACACCAACTGCGAGTAGAATGAGTCAAACGGCGTGCTGTCCCTCTACATGGGCGACAGCGGCACCGCAGGTCTACTGCGCTTCAAGAACGAGGAAGGCAAGGAATCCTTCTCCGTTGCCATCGGTGTGCACGTGTACAAGCCCTGGCTTGACATCATCACTGGCCTTGCAGATAACATCACCGGTGCTCAGTCTCTGCCTGAGTACTATGGTGAGACTACTGATAAGACGAAGAGGCGCGAGGCTACAAAGACTGAGCAGTCGGTTTTGAACATTGATCATAGAAACATTACGGCAAAATATCGTGTTAAAGCGGGCGAGAACCTTGAGCTTAATATTATTATTGGTTAAGGCTAGCGGTTCAGAAAGGTAAGGGTGAACAGGCGAGGGCTGGAATCAGTACTGGCATCTTAGTATGGCAATATACATCTCACTTAGGTTGCAACGCTCATGCTGTTTCTCCAAGCTCTAAGCATTTAAGCTTCATTCAACAACAAGTCTCACCGATCACTCCCGGTTTATTGCCGTGGAATTCCATGACTCGCTGTGACGATGTGACGAGACGCAGGAGCATGATACATTCAGTTGATTTATGGTCTAACTGACTCATGTACTCGAACAACCCAGCCAATATCAGTATCGGTTCAGGACGCGCTGCAATCGTAAAGGGACCGTGCTGCTCAAATTTTTCTAATCACAATTTGGTGGCTGCACGTGGCTGGCTGAGCTAACGGAAACAACTTAGCTAGTTCTGCCAATTATTTTGAAATAGCGGCATTTTTCTCTCAGCTGGGCTCGCTTAGGTTTTGCTTTTTTAGATCAAGAATTACTGTCTTGCGCTTTAATTTCTTCCTATGAGCTCTTGTCTGAGTTTCGTGTCGTGATATTATGCAGAATTTAGCTAGTGCCTTTAATTGCTCGTGGTGAAGATGCCTATTTGCCATTTGCCTTTCTATTGCTCTGACTTGAGTTAGTTAAGCTTATCTTTATACATGGCCAAGCTAACGGGCACTAGTGAAAACGCTAGTCGCAGACTATCGATCGCTTGAAGAGTAAAGCAAATTAAATCAGGTCAGTGTATTTACGTTATCCCCTGCTTTCCGTCGCCCCGAGGGTAATCTAGGTGCCCGATTGGTGAGAACTTGAGTTGACGGATCACATCATGCGCCTTACACGAAGTCAGGGTATGGAGGAAAGGCCCTGACTCGACTTATCAGGGGCTACTGCGTAGCTCCTGTGATATTTATAATCATCCAGAGATGACTCTTCCGTCCATCAGCTCTAAGGTTGTTACCCTTCTTTCTCACATGTCTCTTGTTTAAGGGACTGTCGCTCGTTACGTCCTCGTCACTCTTTACAAGCCCCGTCACTCGTTAAGAAATATGCATTCCAAGAAACTTTTGTCTTTGGCCTTGAGCCTTTTTGTAGTGGAGTCGGTAGTAGCCGGTCCCTGCAAGCCGAGGACTTCCTCTGCCAGTATGTCCTTTTGCATCCGTAAACTGCCGCTCAAGTTGAGAACTCTCGTTGACTTGTCCCAGCTTCAGTGGCCTCAACTACGCTCACTGGATCTACGACAGCGGCCCTTCCCGTGTCATCCACCACGGATACCAGCGTGGCAGTTGTTGAGACCAGTGCTACCGCCGAAACCAGCGAGACTGACACCGAGACTGCTACTACGCTTTTGACCAGCACCACGGCTGCATCAGTGGACACTACCACTACTGGAGAGGGAACAGCTACAGCCGTTGAGACTACCACGGCCGCCGAGTCTGGAACTACAGCTACCACTGAGGCTGCAACCACGACCGGGGAGGCAACCACGACAGAGGCTCAGACAACCACCACAGCAGAGGCCGAGACTACTACTACAGAGGCCGCTACTACAACAACCGCCGCAGACCCCGGCTGTGCCCAGACCATACTCCTAGCCAACCCCACTCCGATCTTTGACGCACAGAATGGTAGATATGATGATTTCAACACCGGCGTCACTGCACCTTTCCCCATTGAGTTCTTTGGCGCTGCCTCAAGCAGTGTCTACGTCAGCACGAACGGCTTTCTATCACTAGACTCGGGCTCGAATTCTTATGCCAATACCGGATTGCCCACCGAAAGTATCCCGAGTAATAGCATCATGCCTTACTGGGACGATCTCCTGATCACCGAGGGCACCTGCAACACGGGCGTCTTCTACGATGTCTATGAAACCGCCCGCGGCAACACCTTCACCATCGAGTATAATGTTGGCAGTCTTCAGCCTTCGCTGATAGGCACCGGTGAGCACTTCTCGGTCAGTTTCTACGAGGACCATCCCGGGTTGGTCAGGTTTGAGTACTATCAGACTACAAAACATGGTTCGAGCGCAACTATTGGTCTGCAGGGTGGGGGGGTGTTCTCCCAATTCTCTTTCAACCAGGAAAACTCTGTCCCTGATCAGTACTTCGTTGAGATTGAAACGACTGAAGGAGGAGGCGCACTCACCCGAACAGGCTCTCTGTAAGAGGATGCTTTCTAGGCTACGGCGACGGGTAACTATAACTACGGTGTGCAATTTATTTCAGTTCTGGATTGTATTACTATATATAATGCTGAGGCCAATTAAACACGCAGATGGTCTCTCTTCCTTTAACGTTACGTCTTGCATGGGTGATAATCATGATAACAGAAATAAAAAAGGGAAGTGACGCAGCATACAAGTTTTAATATCAGGATATATGTAGATTCTGACGCAATATAGGAATTTATATATTCGTAGCCCATAGTATAGCAGTATTAGTAGTATAAATTATAAGCCTCCTTAACCAGCTACTTACCGGTTATATTTTGCCTTTAAGGTGCTATTAATTTAGGAAAATAGTATTAATTACTATCAAAATAAAAGTAGTCACTGCTATTTATTTTATATATTAAACTGATTTCTGATTTATAAAGGGTAGTTAACAAAAGTATAATAGCTTATTTGAAATACTTAAATAAATTAAATAATAATAATCTATTTCTTCTTTACTCTGAACCTAATAATCCTTTGATAAAGGATCTCTTTTCTCCACTGATAGCTCGATAGCGATTCAGCAAATGCATGATACCATCTAAGTATTGAGCATCTTCTTTGTTTCCTGCATCTAGCCGGCGGGCCTTAACCTTCAACAGCACTCCAGGCTGCCGTACACCCTGCTGAAGAAGGAATTCTACTACCTGTAGCCTCCGCGACTTCGTGTTGATCTGAATGTTTGGTTGATTGAGGATCGCAATTGTTTCTTCTGAAAAATATACCCCGGGGCCAAATATTGCCTGTTCTAACAATGCTGTGGAGAATCGCTTGGGAACTGCATGAAAGAGGTTGGGACTTTTGTGAAATTTGTGGCGGATATAGTGCAGAATAGCGAATTGCGTCACCAATCCGTCAAAGGTGTTCACTTTCACATTGTCAGGTTTCATTCGATGGTATGACGCCCAGGGCATGTTTTTCTCGCTAACAAGTGTCCCGCAACCAGGCGATTTCGTAAATTTCTTCGTTGCAGCGTCGTGAAATCGATCCAGGACAGCAGCTAAAGCTGCGTCTGAAACAATCGTTTCGTCAACTTGGGACGCGTAATGTAACGTTCTGACGACATTTTTCCAAAATTTGAAATTGCCCATATGATAAAAATCGCCTGGGTTGAAGATAGGCTCGCCTTGATCCGGATTCTCCCTTTGGATGACTTCTGCTTGGAGGAGGCAAGCATGCGGGTCGAAGCCTGGAGGGCTGACTGACTTTATCTCTTGCCAGACACGTGGGAGATTCACCCATTCTACAGCCGTTCTGTGCAGATACTCGACAGTTCGAGTTTGGGGTACAAGCTCCAGGATACCCCGGGTCCGGGCACTGAGTCTTCGCTTGAGCACAACTTGTACTTTTTCCATATCCGAGTCCCGCACTGGAACCGGAGGGTCTGTTGGTTGACTTCTAGCCTCGTCTGCTAACCACAAAGTTATCCAGTCTACAGGCTGGAAAGCTCGAACGTATAGCTGTAACATTACAGAAACCTCTGGCAGCAATCTCTTGGGAATGGCTGCATAGATAGCATCATATAGGTCTTCGATCTCGCTGGGCATCGCGTCAAGGATCTCTTGAAGATGAGACAAGCTTGACCCTTCAATAAGATTTTCTAATAGCGTCTGGGTTACCAGTGAAGTCCAGAGAAAGACCCCTTTCGATCTTGTAGCAACGTCCGTCAAAAGGACTTCACCGCTGCCATGGTAGACGTCATTCAGCTCTTGGAAAGCTACAACACCTCGGAAATGGCCACGAATGAATGATTGAATATCCGAATTAGTTAAGAGATGCATTTGCAGTCCGGGGCTGGCTGCGAAAGCATCGCTGAATTGTGGCCAAGGACGACTTGCAACGCAGACTTTAACTGACTTGTGAGATGAAATTGTCAGAATCCTCTGGCACAAATCCACAGGGGCGACGTCAAATTCATCCAGACCGTCGATAAAAAGGGCGAGGAGAGGCTTGTCTTCTTCCATCTGTAGCAGGCGCCCGAATGACTCATCGAGCTCCCATGTAGCCCAAGGAGGAAATGAATCGACCTCACGAACGGCGTGGAACAGAGACCAGCGCCGCGGACATAGAAACGGTATCATTTTAGGGTTGAGGTCGAGTATCTGATGAAGAAGGGTGCGTAACAAACCGTCTTCAGATCTTGCCATCTCTGCTCCTGGTCTCCATGCATAGTACTTAATTGTGTATTGTGGTGAGCCCTGAGACCATTTCTGTAAATGCTCTCCCAAAAATGGATGTTGGAGGATGAACTTCATCATGGTCGATTTGCCCGAGCCTGGCTTGCCAGTGATCCAGTACGGAAGGCTATAATTGCCCTCGAGCCAAGCTGGGAAACTAGACCACATTGGTGCTCCTCCCAAAGATATCTGAGGATCTCTGTCAAATATCCATTGGAAGGTGGAGCCGAAGCTTTTTGTTATTGCTTCTTCCCGGTTTTCCATCGAGTCAAAACGAAGGCTGTCACAGATGAACGAATTCAGCTCTTCCACTGATAGACCTGTTTGCTTGGGAAAAGAAGATAGGATCTGGGTATCTGGCTTCCAGTCGGCTCGCCACAAACGATCTTGAATCTGAATTATAACCTTGTTCCGGCGTATGGATTCAATGGCCGCTTTTTCGACAGTCTTGTCCGTGTGTCCTTCGTTTTGCTGTGGGCCAGCCTCCAAGGGCTGAGACAGCCGCTCTATCATGGTGTCAAGTTTGCTGCTGAGCTGATGCTCCCAGTTCTTGGTACTTTGCGAATTGCGCCTAGGTAGGTAGGTAGGTAGCTGGTAAGCTTGGAACTAAAGAGAACGAAGCAATTGAGAGCCGAACCAGATTGACATAGTCGCTGCCGTTACCATTCCTTGCCGCACCTTCTCAAGACGCTCCCCAATTCTGGCAATTTCATCGCGGGCCCACCAAGACCTTAGTGCCACCCGGAAGCATTCGCCAACCGACTTAAGTTCGTACGACCGCAAACCATTTTGTTCGGCAAGCAAAATGACTTCCTTATCAGTGGCTAGTTGTGTTTCAAAGTTCTTACTAATATTTGGCATAACTGCAAGAATCTTCGTTGCGATGTCCTCGCACTCCTGGCAGAGGTGAAGCAACTCCTTATCAGGACCCTCCAAAGCAGATGCATCCCGTTGCTGGGATTTGAAAGTCTCTCTCACAGCTATGGATAGCTTCGAGATGTCGGTCGAGATAGCTGATAGGTTCTGCAGCTGAAGGGTCTGACCAGATACCGAGTGGTAGACGTGCCATGTCTCCGAGAAAAGTCGTTGACTAAAGTCGACAAACTGGACCGCAGCAGCGGCTACGCCTAACATAGATAAAGGATCCATTTTGTTCAGAAGAAAGACGCTCAGGTGAGTGAGGGGTCTACACTTGCCCTTGATTCCCTATTTGTATCATAATCCTAGTGCTTACATCACGTGTACCCTACATTCTCCTCTAATTACTTAAGATCGTGATTAGATCAATTAGCACGATTATCAAACATCAGTCATTCATTGACTATGCGTAGGCTATAGATAACAAAACACAATTCATGAAACTCGTTTGAAACAGGGTATCATCTCAACTTTTGCCCACTTCACAACTTCGCAACCTCCACTCTTAATAATGCTTGCTGTTACGTCGGCTCGCCGACGGTGTACCCCTGGGAGTTCCACGAGGCGTGACACGACTCTCGCCGAAGAAACGGTTGGAGTTACTGTACTGGCGTCCATAGCTTGGCCGAGCAGCAACAGGAGGACGCTCAACGTCGGACGCTCCGGTGGCAGTGGAGCCTAATAAAGTCGTTAGTATACCATTCTATAGAGTAACGTTCAATAGACTCACTCCTTCGTCTAGCATCGTAGGCAACGCTTCCGCGGCGTCCCTGCTCGACATTCTCTTGGCGTTCACCAGCAAGACGTTGGGCGAAAGGTGATCGTGCTCGAAGAGCTGGGCCCTTCCAGTATATGACGTAAACAGCGACGACAAGAACGAAAGAGATACAGAAAAGAATGGTCGAAGCGTATTCGAGATTCTTGCCGGATGAAGCGCCGATGTTGCTGAAGAATGGTGTAGCGGGGACGGTGAGAACACCAGCGAGAAAATCTCGAGCCCAACCATTGCCTCCAGTGGCTGAAGCAGAGTAGGGGCCGTCTATATGTTGTCAGTTGATGTCTTGCATTTGAAGGTGAGTGAGCTTACAGGCACAGATCATGTAGTCAATAGTGGCCATGTAGATGGCATAGTTGGCGATACCGACAATGGCAGCAAAGATCAAAGAACCAATCCAGTGGATGGGAGGACCCTGGATCGTCCAGGCAAAGCCAATCAGTCCAATAGGCAAGCAAGGTGCAGTGTAGAGCAGAAACCACAGACGCGACTCATACTGGGCACGCTCGTCATTCGGCTTCTCCCGTCGCTCCTTGATGTTCTTCTTGATGGCAGGAATGAAGGCCAACCAAGCAATGACATAGCCAACACCGATAGCAAGGAATGTCAAGCCGATCTGGACAGCATCGAAATCCCATTGCTTGTAAACCAGAGCGAATGACTGGATAAACATGAAGATAAGAGCGTCGGAGAAACCGGAGAGGAGAGAAAGGACAAGGACAATGGGCTCTGTGAGGAACATCTTGAAGGGACGGGTCCACGTGATGAGGATCTCCTTGGCGGAGAAACGCTCGCGGAAGGGGACGAGCTCATCGGGGCCCCAGAAGTTAGCGTTTGTCTCCTTTCTGCGCTTCTTAGCGATGCGGTTCATGAGAATTGTGCTTCGTGTCTCGGGAACAGTGAGGAAGTGGACAATCTGAACGAATCCACCGAGAATAAGCTGAATCCAGATTGACCAGCGCCAATGGAGGTACTGTTCACAGAAACCACCGACGATTGGTCCAAGAACCGAGCCACCGACCGAAGAAAAGACAACATAAGCAACAGCGTATTGCTGGTGATCAGACTCCCACATATCAGCGATCATACCGAGCGTGACGGAACCACCAGCGGATGAAAGACCACCGAGCGCACGGCCAACCATGATGGTAGCGAAATTGGGAGCCAGCGCGACGGGGAGTTGCCAGATGTTTACGAGGAAGAGAGAGGCCTGCATGATAGGCCACCGACCGAATTCCTCTGACCAGGGTGCCCAGAGCTCACAGCCAAAGGCGTAGAGGACGAGGAAGATCATGGCGCCGCAGCGGGCGGCTTGGGCGCTGACGTGGAATTCTTCGGAGATGCCTGGGATGGCATTGGAGTAGAGGGAGGTGTTGAAGTTCATGGATACTTGGACCTATGAGTCATTAGACGGGAGCCAAAACACCAAGGCTTGAGCAAACTTACCCAGAAGATGACGGTGAGAATGTACCACTTCTTCCATTTGGGGAACGAGTAGCCCAACTCATCGTAGCAATCATCCTCGGTGATTTCATACTTGTCGTAGGTACCCAGCTTCTCCAGCCCAGCACCGTTAGCATTGTGCGTCCTCTCATCGCCGCTATGGTCCGTAGAACCATCCAAGTTCTGCTGGAGCCGCGAGTTAGCGACGTGCAGGTCATCCTGATTGATGACCTGCGGCGGATCGTCTGAGAAGTGAGTCGGCATATTGATCAACTACCAAAGTTTTGGTACGTCTGAAGTTTAAGCTTGTTGGCAAAATGGGGGTGACGGTGGATATTTAAAAAGCTGGGGGATCACCAGTTTGACAAGAACAAAACTTGGGAGAATCCACTCTTGACATCACCGATTCTGGCCCCCCAGATGGTGGTGTAGTCTACGTGGGGAAGACAGAGGAGTTTGGGATTGTGTGCCGTTGTAGCCGACGCAAAGAAAGAGATCAGCAGTCAAGGGTGAGATTTGCACGTATTACGGGGTGTTTGGATGGCCTAGAAGAGACAAGCTTAGTGATGTGGTTATTCCATCACGCAATTAATTTGCTGATCAGAGACTCATCCAACACTGCTGCAGTGCAGTTTGAACTCGGCCGAGTCAGGTTCAACAATGACGTCGTGACAAACAAAAGGATTTCAACCAACCAACAAACTAGTCCAATAGGTTCAAGCGTTTATCGCCCTTCCAATCGGTTTAACCGTTAGAGTCCACAACCAGGCAGCACAATTCCTGATAAACTTTTGTCCCCACAATGACATGACTTCATCGAAGGAGGCTCGAGGTTTTTTCAGTTTAGGTCCTGCTTATTTCCCGCGTTTATTGCGTCACAGTGCACCATCTCCAATTAATCCCTGTAAATTTCACAGCTCGGAGGGTTTAACTCGCCAGGCTTGCTGCTGCTTCTTGATGGCCAAGCAGAGATCCCGAACAAGCCGTCCTGGGCGATCGATCGTTTTTTGTGTCTGGGCAGCTGAATTCTCGGCTTTTCTTCTTGGCGGGTTCGGAATTAACCAACTGGAATAATGTCATCACTAACTAAGGGAAATCCAACTGAACTGGGTCTTTTTGGCACGCGACAGACCCAATTTGGGGCTCCGCTGGGGAACGACTCGTGATTCTCCACCAGCAAGTTTTTTTTTTTTTCGTTTCAAAGCCAAGGGCACGGTGCATGACGGACCGCAGAGCCTCCATCACGATATTAATTCCGGGAGTTTATGGCGCGATTTGTTGTAAACTATGGTTTCTTATTACCGGTTTGTTTTCTAGAACGAAGAATACATGTTGCAATGGTTATGGGGACTGAATGATTCTCGGCGACGAAACGTTTCATCTGGACTGGTTGTTGCATCTGATACTTGATTGATTGATTACCTGGCGCGTCGATTGAGCCTGAGGGCATTTATCTTCTACCTTTCGTCAGCTTGTTTTGACTACACTTACCAATTGTGAAGCTGTTTCTGCATCCTTATGTAGATAATCTTCTGCAGTCCAAGTAATTGACTTCATCTTCATCCGATCACCGTTGTTCTCCAGTTCCCATCGGCCCAATTCTCGGCCTTCTACTCCACGGGGATCTCTCCCCAGCGGAGTATCTGTGGATTCAATGACACGGGGTAACAACTTTTATTTCGCTGCCTATTTCAGTGGACCCTGTTTACCTAAAATGTCGTGAAAAATCTTCTGATTCAGTATCACGAGATCCAGCTTTGGTGTTGAGGCTTTTTTTTGCTTGGCGATAACTACCGAAGCGCGTCGATCGCAAATTTCCCGCTGAGCCGGTTTACCGTTTTCGGAAGGCTTGGGAGGTCGAGAGGGCGCCAAGCTTGAATCGATTTGTGTCAATCTTCCGCTCTAGGGTGAGCAGCCCAGCCTGGTTATTTACAAACCAAAAGATGCTGGTGTTTTCAGTTGGAGATCGGGTGCGCACTACAGGCAGGATAATAACATCTCTTTTTAGCCTATGCAATCGAGAGGCCTATGCCTAGAAGAATCCTGGGCAAGTTGAATTATACATCAGTATCTCATTAATTCATGTTAACTCCAAGGTCTCAGCACGAAGAGCATTGTTGTAATATCCTAACTAACTAACTAACTATCGTCATAGCTCTCTGGTCATCTTTTTTTTTTTTTTTTTTTTTTTTTACAAAATCACTTCTTCGCCACTCCTCAACACGTTCTGATATTGCTGACTTCACTGGCTCATCAACCTTCCAACCGGTCATCGCTGATCCCGAGCACGGCCGCTCCATTGAGGACCCGGAATCCATCAAGCGTGTTGTTCTCTGCTCGGGACAAGTATATGCAGCGATTCAGAAGCATAGAGAATCGGCAGGCATCAAGGACGTGGCCATTATGAGAATAGAGGAGCTTCACCCCTTCCCCTGGACCAAGGTAAAATCCAATCTTGCTCAGTACAAGAATGCCAAGGCGGTTGTTTGGGCGCAAGAGGAGCACTACAATGGTAGAGCGTGGCATTATATGCGCGATAGATTAAATGCAGTCCTTGACGAGACAGACCACCTTGCTGGACGTCGCGTGCTCTTTGCGGGTCGTGGAATGAGCGCCAGTCCGGCTACATCTCAAGCATCTCCACTATGCTGAGGAGAAAGCACTCATTGATGATGTGTTCAATGTTCAGAACCAGATATGGAGCACCTTGAGATTCAAATGCTGAGTTCGGCGCTCTAAAAGTATAACACAACTCGAGCCCGTGGCTGGTTTCTTGTTGCAACTTCACTACGTGAATTTTGATTACTAGCTGCCTGTGAGAAAGGACGATAAAAGATTTTATGAGAAATCTCTGTCTTTCTTAGATATATGCCGTTACTGACATTGCTCCTCAATTGAGCCTGCAGTGAACTGTTCTCAGCAACTAAGTCTGTTCCCGTCGGATTGTACGGAGCAAGAAGCCATGGTTGGTCCAAATGGCAATTCCAGTAGCCTCTTCAGTCAATATTATCTTATTTGACCCTAGGGAAAGGATCTAGGTTCATTATGATCACTATCACTCTATCGCTCTGGTCATCTTTGCTTGCTTAATCATGCCCTAAATTAGACACACTTCCGGTCCAAAACCTGCCCAAAAACAAACCCCAGATAATTGAAGAATTCGTAGCTGAAGAGTCCTTTGCTCAGAGAGTGCCCAATTCGCGCAATTTGCCCACAAACCCCGGCACGTCTCCTACAATACTACCTGCCTTTCGTCTGGGGGGTCCTGGTTCATGTCAGCTCCATTGTCTCTATGCACAAAGAAAGGAGTAGTGGAACTTACCCTCAACCCAGAGAACTTATAGCAGCTTGCCATCTTTCACGCCATCGTCTTCGAGAGTCCTCTGCTCGATTTTCTTCTTCTTGGCTTTCATGATGCTCGGAAGTGTAGCATAACGTGGCTCGTTCAGCCGTAGATTAATCGTTACCACCATGGATAGCTGAGCCTCGATCGTCTGTGTTCCTCCATCTATCTCCCTCGTGGCCATGTCACTGTCTCCCTCGATTTCGATCTTGCTCGCCTGCGTAGCCTGTGGCCAATTCAGGAAGCCGGTAAGTAACTATCGTATTTGACCAAAGTCATTATCTATGGCCTACTTGTCCAAGAGAGCCAGGTTTGACTTTTCTTCTCTTGCCACGGCCTGAAGCAGTCTTGCAACTACCAAGGGCTCCATGGAGTCTGCCTGCTCCTATGGCAATTGCGGTTCCGAGGACATCCTGGCATTTGGGCGGTCCTGCAGAAACGGCAACAATCTCCTCAACTGACTGCATGTGTTCCTGCAACCTAACCGCGTCTTCCATAGACAGCTCATCGAACGGATTGAGCGATTGCTTGACAGCTAATCATATGTAAGCAAGACCATGACTCTCATGTCGCTGACTACTACCAAGTCGAAGTATCTGTTTCTGCATGCAAGGCATACAGATTTCCACAAGATGTCACACAATAGTTCAAAACTGCCAGCATCACAATGATCTATTAGTCTTCTTCTCCAAGGAACCGACCTTGCATCTTGCGATGCGTGTGTCGACATCTATGCCGCATGCCCTAGCCCTATCCAGCAATGCCGTGGCCGCCTTGACAACAGGCGCATCAATCATGCACCCATTGAGTTTCCAAGCGCCTCTGCCCTGTTTCTGCGACTCTATATGCCCCCAAAAAACCTCCAACGCCCATTGTACTTCCTTAGTAGATGAAGATGAGTTGAAAGCGACATTGCTGAGATACACGAACAAGAAGAATACTCTGATATTCACATTTCCAGTCCAGCTCAATAAGAGACCAAGATGTATATCATATTCGGGTCACTTTTACCAAATCGGGTAAGCCTGTTTCGGCAACGACATCCGATGATGCCGGAATTAGAGTAGCTCCCGGATCCGGTCCAAAGCGGACACGTCTGTCAAAAGCCGAATAGGCAAGCTTTATTGACCTTGATACGTCGGCACTCTGTTGCCGATATCTCGGAAGTCATCAATCGCCTAGGTATGGAGACGCTAATCCAAGACGGCCCCGGGCTGGAACAGAGACCGCCGCCGACCAAGCCCAGACGCGGTGACGGCGTCGGCGTCGGCCCGCGCACCTCCACAGCTTGCCTCATGTGCCGTGACAAGAAAGTCAAGTGCTCCGGCACGCGGCCTTGCGTCTACTGCGTCAAGCGTGGCCTAGACTGTGTTTTTACTCGGCCGTCTCGGCGGAGACTCTATTCAGTCACGTAAGCTGCATGCATTACATACCTAGTTCAAAAGATGGCGCTCTGCTGACTGCACCAGCCACATACGAAATTTGGAAGAGAGAGTGGCACAATACGAAAGTCGTGACGGTACTTGACATCGCATTACATCGCATTCCCCTGCTTTAGGCTGCTGACTTAATCAAAGATGTGAGCCAAGCAGGCTCCGGGCAGCCTGCCTCTGCACACAGCTTGCCATCTCCTGCAGCTCAGAGACCGCCTTCATTGTCCGAAATCCATGTGCAAGGTGATGTTTCACGCCATGGCAAACATACACAACAGCAACAGCAGCAGCCGTCACTATCTCCTCGATCTCCACATCATGAGGTTCTCGAACCCGTAGTGACAACATTGAGCCCAAGACCAACCCGGGAACCGACAGGTAAGCCAAGCATCATCGCTTTCTTGCGTCCATCAGACCGTGCTCACTAATCGATCTCTCTTTACCCAGCTCTTACGCCTGGAACCTCTCTCTCTTCGAGCGACACGTTTAGCTCCGAGCTAAGAACCCTCTTAATTGAACGATCAAGGCCAAACCCAGGACCAGTCTCTGCTCGGACTGCTGATACTACTCCACGATCCATCTGCCAGAGCCGGCTAGGTATAGACAAGATCAAGTACTGGCCTACAGAAGACGACGCGCATAGCATGTTGAACATTGTCGTCCTGAATGTGGGCATATCACAGCAGCTCTTTGACGTTAGAACCTTCTCAGATAATCTATTCTCCCTCTTTAATGATAGCGCCGCTGATGCTGGAGTGACCGAGCTATGGTATGCGGAGTGTCTCCTGGTCTTTGCAATCGGGAGGCTTCTTCAAGCCAAGTGGGATGACATGTCTAAGCCACCAGGCGATGAGTTCTTTCACGAGGCGCTCAAGCGCATGCCCGATCTCAGTAGCCTACGAAAGCAAGGAGTCTTGGGCATCGAACTGATGGGACTGTCGGCCCTCTACCTACAAATCGCAGACCGAAAAGAGGACGCTTATCTCTACGTCAGTAATTGACTGTAACCCTAAAGTCTACAAACTGAAACTTACACTGTTGCAGGCGAGCTCAGCCCTCCGTCTATCGTTGGGTCTTTCTCTCCACAAGTCTGGATCTTACAGAAGTCAAAGACGTTCGGAAGCTGTGCATCGAAACCGGCTCTGGTGGTCGATCTACATGCAGGAACGGTATGTCATCCTTGAGTAAATTATAGTATCGTCATGGCCTGACGCCGTAGTAGAAGACTTGCAGCTGCTGTAGGCTTCCCCATGTCCATTTCAGACACGGAAATTACGGCATCCCATCCCACGGATCATATCGGATACCAATCTGCTGCTGCCATCGCTGTTAACGCAAAGCTGGCTCAGATCACAGGCCGCATCACCACCAGTTAGTCAACATGTGCGCCTACGCGTCTAGATGCACCGCACTGACCCTTTTCGAGCCATCTACTCTCAGAGCAATCAGGAGGAGGCCACTTTCATCAAGGAAGTACAGGGCATCCTGCAATCGCTCCGCAAGATTGAAAATGAGATGCCCGCGGAAATCTCAGGCGGATCAAACCCTACCGAACTCATACTTCACGAGGCACCGTTGTCCAGCTCACAACTGTCATCGGCAAGGACAACCGCATCCCTCCATTTGACGGTTAATCAGGTAAAGACCCTGCCGTGTTGATCTAGCCTCCTGTGAAGTTTAATTGACTGGCGGCAGAACATCATATACGCAGTGCGGCCGATCCTCTTGTATATGGCTCGTAACAGCTTCAGCGGAGGAAACGACTTGTACACATCCATGAGCCCTGCTCTTCGCCGCCTTGCAGATACATGCGTCGAAGCAGCCCGTAAGAGTTTGGTCATTCTTCATGGTCTATGCAAACAGGACATTATTGGTGCGCACATTTATCTTTGCTTATCCGACTGTCCGCTGACAACCTTCACATCCAGCCAAGCATGCTTTCCTTGATCTCGACTGTCTCTTTTCCACCGGCTTTATCTTCGTTCTCGCAGTCATCATCAACTCTGACAAAGCTCAGGCCTATCAAGGTATCGAGAGTGTCCGGAGCATCCTGACGCATCTCTCCAACCTGGGCAATAGAGCTGCTACGAAGCGTCTGGCTGAGATCGATCAAATGTGCACCAGCCTAACTCTTGAGACAGAGACGCCAGATGTCGAGGCTGCACAGCCACAAATGCTTATGCAGCCATTTTCTTTTCAGGCGTCGGGAGCTGCGCCCATTGCGTCGAGTGAGCCACAAGACCAGGACCTGACGAGTGAGAATGCCCTTGGAGAACAAGATACCGTCATGGCCGGTGCACAAGACCTTGGCGACATTGTGCTCGAGGGTGAAGACGACCTCTACTGGATTTATCACAATCCATCATTGTCACTCACGGGCGTAGAACAATTGGATTGGGAGACTTTGGAAAATCACATGGTGTAATTTACTCACATGGATCAGTCGTCCGCTCAGCCACCATCTATCATTCTGAAATCTTCCCTTTCATACACAATGTGCCCTCCCTTTCCACTAGAACCTCGACAGTTCCCTTGGACTGCCCCTCAGGACTAGCCTTTACCGTATAGCGCTCGCCCGAGTATAGAGGCGACAGTGCTCTGTATGTAATCTCGCTTGGTCCTGTGCCGTCAGGAACGGCGTGGACGTCACGCCAATAGTCAAGCAAATTGATAAGATTGAGCGGACCATGCACTACAAGGCCTCGATGCCCCTCAACTCCCTGACTCCAGGCCGCATCATAATGTATTCTATGCGCGTTGAACGTCAGCGCCGAGAAGCGGAAGAGAGATATGGGAGACCACGTCATCTGGCGCTCTGGATACCCTAGCTAATATTAGCAAGAGCCTCGCTGTAGCGACTGGCATACCTTTCGGCGAGTGCAGCGTAGTTTGAACATTTGTTTGTACTGTTACCAAGCTGGTAGGCACAGTAGTATTCGCCAGAGGCTCCGGGAGCTCTGTGCGGAATACCCAAGACCTATTATCTTTCTTAACATGAGTCGCCATCGGTAAACAAGGAGGGTTCACCTTTGGTCGGTAAGAGAGAGTCCCTGTGAGCCCCAAAACTCTTTCTCAATAGTGACGACTATCATATCGGTTCCATCCCGGCTTTTCTTTGGCTCGGCAGCAAGCAATCGGGTCCGCTCCTCAACTTCCTCGCCAACGCGCAAGGGACGGTCTTTGGCCCATTGCATGCGTCCGCCCGCCCACATCCGTCGTGTGAAGGGTGCCGGAGCATTGAAACTGCGATCCGTTCCGTCGACTCCCAACTCAAATTCTGTTCCGTTGGGAGTGAAATAGACCAGATGGTAGCCCGCTGGCAGAGCTGTGCCATTAGCTGGTGCTATTTCAGAAATATCATGGCCAGGGTGGAGGTGTCGTCGGTTGAGAGTTAAGCTGAGCTTCTGGAGCTGGTTGCCATCTAGTACTTGTCGACGCGTCGTGACGCGATCTTTGAGTCGGCTCAAGAGCTGTTGGGCAATGTCCGAGCCCAGAGTGCTTGCAGATCGCCTTTGAGAGCTGCGGCATCCCAGGCGGAGTGGATTGCCAAGACGGGAGGTGGTGAATAGTTTCATGGCTGATAAGGTGCGATCAATTTACTTGTCATGGCGAGGAATCATCCAAATCTTATGTGGTGGATTAGTGTCCAGTGACCTGGCAGCTTCGGCTCCAGAATCCCGAAGTCGGCTGTTAGTGCTGGGCGAGAAAGCCTCATTTACCGAGATCAATATTGTAAGACTCTAGCTTCTTCTGAAAGACCAAATACACAAATAAAAGAGCACCTTTCCGTTTCACAAAGAGATTAGCAAGGTCTTGGGTCGGATGTAACAACAGGCTGCTTATTCATCCTTGCTCAAGATGCGACAAAACACAAAATGTATTATTCAGAGGCTAAGCTTGCTAGCCCTAATAGCTACGAGGAAGCGCCAGAACCTTCTCGCTGATGTAGTTAAGAATCATTTCGCGGCTAACAGGGGCGATGCGAGGGACAAGGCACTCTCTGAACCATCGTTCCACGTCGTACTCAGCCGCGTATCCCATACCACCATGCGTCAGGACAGCTCGTTCGCAGGCTGTGAAGGCCGCCTCAGCTGCCATATACTTGGCACTGTTACATGCGACGCCCACAGAAGCAGGGCTTATCTTGGCATCAGCGGAGGAGCCTTCTTTGCTGCTGTCGTCGTAGAGTCTGGCGGCATGGTAGGTCATAAGCTTGGCGGCTTCAAGCTTCATATATGCATCTGCAAGTGGGTGTGCTATAGCCTGATTTTGGCCGATGGGACGCTGGAAGACAGTTCGGTCCCTAGCATACTCGGCCGCCTTGTTTAAAGCTGCGTACCCAAGACCAAGAGCCTCGCCAGCCAAAAGACAACGCTCGGCATTCATGCCATGCAGGATAATCTTGAAGCCCTGTCCTTCATCTCCGATAAGGCTGTCAGCAGGAATGCTATAATTGTCAAAGAAGACCTCATTTGCATCGACAGCTTTCCCTCCCATCTTTCTGATCTTGCGCAGGTCTAGGCCTTGCTGGTCTCTGTTGAGATCGATACAGAAAAGAGATAATCCATGGCTCGGCTTCTTCGGATCCAATGGAGCAGTTCGCGCCAACAGAATCATCTTAGATGCGACTTGGGCGCAGGTGATCCAGATCTTTTGGCCGCTAACGCGATAGGAGCCATCTGGTTGTTTGGTAGCCGTGGTGGTCAGCCGTAATGTATCGAGACCACTATTAGGCTCTGTGACACCAAAACAAACCCGCCATTTGCCTTGAATGATGTTGGGTATTGTGCTTTGCAGCTGCTTCTCTGTGCCGAATTTTGCTAAGGGCTGCGTGGCATAGACATTCGCATGAATCGCCTGGGCGCCTGCCATGCCCGCGCCGCTCTCGGTAATGGTTTGCATCATCATGACCGCCTCGGAGATGCCTAGGCCTGAACCGCCGAGGGCCTCGGGGAGGGCTATGCCTAGCCAACCGTCCTTGGCAAGGGCAGCATGGAAGTCTTGAGGATCCTGTTCGGCCTGATCTCTTTCCTGCCAGTAGGTATTGGGAAAATTGGAACACAGCTGACTGACAGCTTCTCGAACAGTCAATTGCGTATCTGAGAAGCCGCTCGTGTCCATGAGGCGTCTCGAGCAGGTGGCAGAAAATGAGCGCCTGGCGAATCCATGGGGCGGACTTCGCCACAAGGAGGGGCTGCAACTACCCTTGACACGTTGTAGTGCCCTTGCGGTTGATTGTGACATTTCTGATGGCTTCAAGGGGGATTTGTTACTCGCGACTGGACTAGATACTGCGCCGAATGGCTCGCAGTAGCATGTGCTTTTAATGTCGTAGTTAGCTGAGCTCGGCTCCTGGACCCGAGCGTGGCGAAGTCTAACCGAATATGGTAATACCCGAGACTTACATATCCGGCTTCGGATATAGCAGCCATTAGATATCTTCAGGCGTCTCATGCCCGAAAGACTCAAGAGCAAATAGAACAGCAGGACTCTACCGTATAAACTCGTAGAATTAGGTGGTGCCTATAGATACTGCACTAAGTAAAGTCACTATATTTATTTAGCGCATGACGCTATTTAGTAAGATGTTAAAGCTTTATTTAGCTTATAGCTAATCAGAGGGCCTAAATCTAGCTAAAATGACCTACAGGAGCTACCCAATTTCATGAGTTTTTATGGTGCTTCTTGAGGCAGCATTGCAGGGTAGGTTGGGGCAATCGAGTTTTTCTTGTCATACTCTGGGATCGACGCAAGCATCCCTGATTTTGGTGGAAAGACGGCAGCGCACGCATATGGCTCTAGATCGCGACTACTAGGATATCTACAACCTCATAATTACTCACATGAAAGGAAGAGAAGGTGATGTTGATATGGGGTAATTTCTTTTTCAACGAAACACGGAGGGCTAAGTGTGAAATGGGTTCGCTAAGGTATCTATACTATGATGTCATTCTCCAGCCACAGACACGAGATCTGGCGTGAGAATGTTCACGAAATAACGCGGGGAATCAGCTGAGATACTGTGAATTTAAGTTTACTGACTAAACTCATGACATCGTATGATTCACGAATTCATCAGAAGCCTATTTTTCGACGATTTCCACTTTGTCCAATCCTTACCTTTGTTTGTTGTCTTGACTGAACCAAAATGCAGGTTACAATCGCACCCGCAAGTAACAAAACGAGCACAGCTGCCATCCGCTCGCTGTTATCACAAAACCCGGAGGTCCAGGTCAGAGGCTTGTACCGCGATCTGAAGAAAGTCCCCGACGAGTTCAACTCTGCCAACAATTTCAAGGCGGTTCAAGGTGACGTTGGAGATGTGAATACCCTAGACTTCTCCGGTTCTGATGCAGTTTTGATGGTGCTTCCACCTGCCTACGACGGACGTGACATCGTTGAGCACGCTCAAAGAATCTCAAGCAATGTCAAGGCAGCGATTGAGAAGGCTAGCTGTGTGAAAAGACTTGTTTTGCTCTCGAGCGTCGGCGCCGAGTTCTCGGATGGCGTGGTAAGCTTGTCGCGGACCCTGTTCAATTTTCACTAACTCAGCTTCAAAGGGTGAGCTCAAAACGAATCACATCTCGGAACAAGTATTGAAAAACACGGATATCCCGGAGATAATCATCATCAGATGCTCGTACTTTATGGAAAACTGGACCATGTCCGTTGAAACGCTCAAAGGCCCAAACCCCTTCTTCTTTTCGACTATCACGCCACTCGACTTCAAGATCGCCATGGTCGCCATCAGAGACATAGGCGAAGCAATGGCCACGCAGCTCACTCGCGATTGGACACCGCCAACCAAGCCATGCATCATGGAACTCCACGGACCAGAGCCGTATTCTCCGCTAGACGCACAGAAGGCATTTTCGCAGGCGCTGGGTAAGGACGTTGAAATCAAGGCGATTGGGAAAGAAGAGCTTCCGGAATTTTATGGCAAGATATTTGCGCCGCAGATTGTGAATGAGTGGGTTGAAATGAGTACATGCTTTTTACCAGGTGGTATTGCAGAAAAGGATCTTTCGAAGCCAAGTGATGTTGATGTTATTTATGGGAAGACAACTTTGGCTGAGGCTTTGCGAGAAGCGACAGCTCAACTGAGGGAGTAGGATACGCCTTTTAGCTACAAAGCTTTGAAGCGAAGTCAAGACTGCACAATGGAAGACTAAATAGAGACATTATGTATTAAACTCAATGAAAAGCATGCTATGCTACGTGGTTCTATGCAAACAACCCTCCAACAGCCAAGCCTCAGCTTTACTCCTTTACAATAACCGGCTTATTATGCCACTTCAACTCCCCCTCCTTATAATTCGGCTCCGGCAAAAAGTTCAACGTAAAAGCCTTCTGAACCGTCGGCGAGCACATAAGCTTCGCCAAGATAGTATCGCCATTGATATACGGCAGAACATACTGATCCAAAAACTTCCACAGAAAGTTGTCCCACATGACCGCCCGCGTCGACGTACCCGCTAGTTCAACGTCCTTAGTAACATGATTGAACCTCATCTTCTTGTACTCCTCAAACGTCTTTGTAAGCTCCTTGATATCCGGGTTTGGGTTATCGCGAAGAAGGTCGCGGAGCAAGTTGATCAGCACGACGGTGGATTGCCATCCTGTGTTTAGGCCGAAGCCGATGTTGGGTGTCATTTTGTGAACGGAGTCGCCGACGAGGACGACACGATCTCTGAACCATTTCTTTGCGACGCCTTCTTCGAATGGGGCTGTGTGAGTCCAGTTTTTTGCAGCCCAGACTTCCTTAAAGGTAACGCCTGGAGCGAGATAAATATCACCATATTTCTTTGCAAGTTCATCGGCTTCTTCGGCTGAGATGTAACAGCGATCGTTTGTTGGCTTGTCGAGCTTGAGGTAGATGGTGAAGAAGTATTTCTCGTGCGATGGCATGATAAGCTGCGAGCTGAAACCCTCGGAGTGACATTCGTAATCGACGCCTTGCTCGAGATCTTTGGATACAGTGGTGCCGTGGCCGTAGAAGCCGTAGAAGGTTGTTGTGAAGTCACCGCTTGTAGCATCGGGGGCGATGTCGTCGACAAAGGTTCGGGTTGTGCTGTTGATGCCGTCTGCTCCGATAATGAGGTCTCCACTGTAAGAATGACCATCTGCGCACTTGACTTCGACTCCGTCAGGGCCCGAGGCGATTGAGGTGACTTGTTTATCGACGAGGAGCTGGTTCGTTATATCGGAGAGGTCACCCATGAGAAGGTTGACTAAATCGCCGCGTTGGAAGAGCATCCATTCATGGCCGTGACTGCAAACGTCAGCAGCTTTCATTACAAGGCCAAAAGGAAGCAGGCTTACTAGTGACCAATGTTCTCAATCATATTGCTCCAACTCATAACACTTCCATCCCGCCTAAGATTGCATTTCTTCTTCATCGGCAAATGCAGCGCATGTGCTTCATCAAGCAAGCCAAGCTGATCCAGAACTCTCGCACTCTGCGGCCAAAGACAAACAGAAGCACCCCAATTCAAATCCGCTTCTTTTCTCCTCTCCAATATCGTAAAATCAATGCCCGCTCGTTGCAGCGCAAGAGCCGCTAGAAGACCAGTTGGTCCAGCGCCGATAATGAGAACCTTAAAACCAGACATTTTTGAGATACAGAAATGAAACAAAACGAAACAATGGGAAGGGACTGAGGTTGATTTTGTATGAACTGACTAAGTACCCCTCTCGTGGAACCAACGACCAGGAAGAGCTATACGGCTTCCCCGGCTACGACTTTCCATTCAATGCGACACTGGGACTATTCCAAATATTTTGATAGGCTATGGCTAGGTCTAAAACTATGTTGGTAGGGTTTATATCCACGAGGATCCAGAACCGTTGGAGTGATCGGCGCTCGCTTGCAATTTAGATAAACATGGGTCTGGAGGTTTTTTATTCGATGGGGCTGAATCCTGAGGAAAGGGGATACGATTCTGACGAGGTCTAACTACCGAATGTCACCTTATAAATTGTGATGTTCAGGAACACTCTGATAGGAATTGTGAAGTGATATGATGTGGCTAGATAGAGTTCTCCCACTTCCCGATTACGGATTTCTGGACCTGAAGGGTGCCATTCTTAGTCTTTCAGCAACCTTATCGTCAATCACTCCTTTTCAAACGAGTAAAATTCTATTTTTTATGTCGTAGCATTGGGCATATCAGACTAGACCATCCACTGCGGGAAGATAGCCCCCGACTGCAACAGTTCCGGCTGACGAGCTCTGACCATCGTGCATAGGGGAACTTCACAAGATTACTCGTGAACAGAACCTTTAGCCCCAATCGTCTCTGGTCGAGATGAAGTTGACAGCTCAATATAATGAGTTATCGAAACAGAGCCGTGGCTTAGTGCCGTGTCAATATTGACTAATCACAATATCTCAGGCAAGCCGTAAGCCTCGAGCCGATATGGGCTTACTGAATTCAAGGTCAAGGCCCAGTCCCAGACTTTATGTCAAGACTGGAATTTCTCGATATTCGGAGCACTGCATTCATACGGCGCATGTAGATGATATTAGTATCTACCACGAAGTTGCTTGAAACTCAGATAATTCTTCATGATATCAAATTCCATAGATCGTATCTGAATTATCCAACTAAATGACAGTATCTCAAGTGCTGACCCAACAGCGAGCAACTCAACAAGCTTAGTCTCTCAGATCGCTCCCTCAAAAGGAGGTGCCTCTCTTCCCTCCGGTGGATCAAAGGTACTATCCTCCACCTCATTCTCCGGACTCTCCTCATTTTCCTTCTCCTGCTCCTCCTGAACCTCCTTCTCAGCATCAGCCTCCTTCTGCGTCTGGTCAATCGCCTCACTAGCATCCTCCAGCTTCTGTGCCTCCTCCTTCGAAAGCTCCTCAGCCTGGTCCTTCAGCGCGGTCTGAATATCCTCACTCGTTTTGTTCAGGGTTGTCGTGGCATCTTTCAGAGATGCGTCGCGCTCTTCTGGGCTCTTGTTGGGATCCGTTGCGCCGGCGACTTCATCGCTGGCCTTGGCGAGGTTTATGGCTGTATCCTCGGTTGCTGGGGATGGTGCACCGCCTTCCAAGACTTCATTCATGGATTCTTTCTGTTGGCGGATGGTGTCTGTCTTGCCTTGGATGTCTTGGGCTTGGTTGACCCCCTTATAACCCTGCTGCACCTCTGGCACAGTGGCCTCGACCTTTGAGGCCTGTGCTTGCACCTCTGGGACTGACTCTGACTGGTAGTCCTTCTCAACTTTCTCAACCTTGTCTTCAGCGTCCTTCTTGCTGGTGGCGTCCTTCTCGACGTCATTCTTCTTCTGAGTCTCGGCCTGCTTGTGGCCCTTGGCCATGTAGTACAGCATACCGATACTGGTCAACATTCCGATCAAACCTTCGAGCATGCTAAGAGAGAAGCCGTTGGCCGAATTCTTGTTGCTGGCGTTCTTGGAGCTATCTGACGGGTCTGGGATGGCCAATTGGTTGAGGTTGCCGGCCACCTTCTGCCCGTTGATGGTGCCCGTGAACGCAGCCCCAATGACATAGTTGGACACAGTTTTGCCGTCCTGCTGGCTGGTCTGGGCTACATTCAGCCAGGTGGGAGTCAGAGCAACTGACAGATTGCCAGTGCCTTGGTTCTGCTCCGACATGGTGCCATCACCTGCCATGACCACCGCCGTGTTCTCATTGTTTGTGCCAGCCATGGTCAGCACAGCTGAGCTGTTATCAGCGCTAGCGGTAATGGCCAGTGTTGCTACCAAAGCCGGGACTTTATCAAGGCTGTAGAGGTAGTAGGTTCCCTGCCAGGGGTTCGTGAACTGGGCTTGCCAAGTGAAAACCGCAGTCCATGTACTAAGCGTGCACAGCTTGAAGCTGCCAGTACTCTGGAAAAACTTGTTGACCGCGGTTTTCTGGCTAGTCGTGTCACCCAGAGCTGTGCGAAACTGCGTAGCCAACTGCGAAGATGGGTTCGCCTGGGTATACTTGATGAACTTGAACGAGTCCACCATGCTCTGCTGATTGTCACTAGTAACAGTGAAGGCGTTTGAATCAGCAAAAGGGGACACTGCCAGAACAGCTACAGGGAACTGCTGGTAGAAGGTGCCGCTCAGTGCTGTGACGTTGCCGGTGAACATGGCCTGAAGCTGGCTGGCAAAGTGAATGGTCTGGACCTGTTGGGTGCTGCCGCTCGACACAGTGGCCAGTTTGGTGTATTTCAAGGGCCCCTGCATCTTGGGGTCGGTGCTAGGGTTGAAGACATCGTATATGTCGACAGAAGAACCAGAGTTGTTGGTGACTGAGGCGACGGGATTGGTTGTGGAACTCATGATTGTTCAGGGTGAAGAGTAAAGCGCAAAGGGCTAAGTGAGAAGGATGTTTTGATGTGTTGGATGATTGTAAAGATGAATGTCTGTCGATGTAAGTGGTGCAGTCTTTGGAGCTATATATAGTCCTCCGCCACAGTATGGACACAAACGGTGAGATGGAATGATGTTGATATTGCTGTGCTGGCGAGAATCTTCGAAGTTGTCCCGCTTGGGGAAGACACAGTCTCCCTCAAACTACCCTGGATACTTTCTACCGCTATACCCAATCATTCGTTGTCAGATGACGTTTAATGCACTTAGCCTTAGCTACTATCACAAGCCATTGTCTCAATCTCACTGTCGTTATAGAGATGGGAAAATTCAGCCAGCCACCATTCTGACCACCAATTCGAGTAGGCTAGCCTCTATTATCGGCATTTTTCCAATCGGCAAGCCAGAGATATACTAGTAACGAGAAAAGGGCTTGCGCTATTTGGTATCGAACTCATAGCTAGGGTAGTTCCGTTCGCTCACTATGAGGGGTAAATCCCAGGAACACATGCCGAGAGCTAGATTTCTAGTTTACTCAGCCAGCCACCATACGGCCAGTCCGTTTTCATCTGACCGCTAATCACGATATTGTTTCGAATCTGTCAGCTCAACATTAACTATTGATCTCACCGAACTCTTGCCTTACCACTCTCGGTATCGGTTCCGTAGTTGTGATGCCCCCTTTCGGAGTCGAAATGCCGAAAAACGGGACTTTCGTCCAAATCCAGCTCGTCACTAGTCTCACTGCCGTATCACTACGAATCAACGAGTCACCATTTTCGGTATGAATACGAAACATGCAGCCCTAAATTCCTCCATCGGTACATAAGATCGCTAGCTCCGGTAGCTAGCGCCACGTAAGGAGCTTGGGCCGCCTATCACCCCTCGATCACATTGATAGTGTGTCTTCAGCCGTTCGAACTAGCAAGCCACGACAGTCGCTATTGGGTTGGAGCTGTCAGCCCTAAGCTCACGATGAGCCGCACAACCGGTCAGTGAAGCGGGGAATACAACGATCTATGGGAAAAGGTCCAGTAACATGCCTCGTAATTGATTCGTATGTGGCTGCTTGTATCACACAGTTGTCTGTACTAAACTCAATTCACAGAAATATACAGATCTAGAACAAATAGCGCCTGCAACGAGGAGAGCTGATGCTCCGCCTCATGACGGAGGGAACGGCCCGGGTGCTGGTATCAAGCGGGTTCGGATATACCCGCGCAAGCTCATGGCCTCAAACAACTAACTAGAGGGCTGAGTAGTACTGTATGTAAGTCACCGTAACATGTCTGCAGCAAGTTAATTATCAAGCACCACCACCGCAACATCACAACTCCCAAACATCCTATCATTGCCTTTTCCTTCCATTTCTCCCTCTTCTCTCTTCCAACACTGCTTAATCTGATCATCATGGCTCCTCCCGTTACTGCCCCCCAGGTATCCTTTGCCAACCACTTAGACGTCAGCGTCATAGTCTACGACTCCTTCAGTGACCAAGACAAGACCAACTATTTCGGCACCTTGACCTCCATTGCAACTGTACCCCCAAAGACCACAGCTTCACTGCAGCTCAAGCACCACCCAGCCTCAGTGCTGATCGTCAGCGATGCAAAGTCCAACTCCCCCCTAGCACGCATCATCTACTTGCAAGATGTGAGCACTGGTCCCTTCGCTGTAGGCGAAGCCGATGTCAAAGCCATGGCCCAAACCATGGCGTTCATCACCTTCATCACAAACAATAAGAATGACCCTCTTACTCAAGCGTTCAACGCTATCTGGAAAGATACCTCGAAGCCACAAGTCACTCCCGTGAACAAGTTCTTTGCTCAGCATGAGCAATACAAGAGCTGTACATTTGCTACCTACATGATGGGTATCACATACACAGCAGAGCAACCTGAGTCCAAAGGCAAGCCTATGGACCAGGCCTTGTACTCGCTAAGTACTCTCGCCACGCTGCTCGGCGCAACCTGGCCGGAATTCTTGCCGGATATTGTGGTGACCAAGTTCACTTGCAATACCAATAATGATATCCTAGCTCTTCAAGCTGGGATAGACCTGAAGAAGCTGCCTGCCCAGTCAGATGAGGCACTACAGTTCTTTGGGTCGCTGTTCAATGTCCAGCAGCTCCAGGTCTCAGTCATGTTCAATTACGCTGTAGGCTTGAACATATTCGGCACCCGCCTGTCCATCAGCCTGGATGCTATGCACGTACCATTTGGAGGCGCGGGAACCCTGAACATCAATAAGCCCACTGCCACCATTGACATCAATCCACTATTCAAGTTCGTCGTCTTCACTGTTACTGGCGACATGCCGTTTGACATCTTCGACAACAAGTTTGAGGCTGATTTGTCTATGACAATCGACAACATCGAGGCTGCCTTTGGTGTTGTCATCAAGGGAGACAAAGGCCCGTTGCCAGCGCCACCAGTCATGAAGGGCGTGCACTTTGACTCGTTTGGAGTCGGCATCGGAATCATCTTCGAGCCTCCAAGTGCAGCAATCGGCTTGTCAGGTCAACTTCACATCGGTGACGCTGCCAGCAATACCATCGTGCCTCTTGATGATGACTCGTTCGTGGTTGTCTGCCAGTTGATAGAGGAGGTCCCAAACCCTCTCTATATCTCCTTCTATGTGCCCAAGATGCACCTGACGGACATTTATACAGTCTTCACCAACGCCCAATGTCCTGTGGATGTACCTGTGTTGTTCTCCGACCTCTCCTTCCAGTGGTCTGAGAATCCCATGGAACCCGTCGTGTTGCCTGACGGGTCGCTTTCCAACATGGGCTACGGCTTCAGCGCCGCTGCCGACATCTTTGGCTTCGACTTCTACGGCGACGTGGAGCTTGACCTCACTAACGGGGTGAAAGCCGACATTGAGATGTCTCCCTTGTCGCTCGGCAACATATTCTCGATCAAGGGAGATGGCTCTGGCGTTAGCTTGAAGGTGGATGCCAATGGAAATCCCATCAAGAACAATCAGATCATTACCAAGGCTGCGCAGAAGCAGGCACTCCAAAACGCCACGATGAAGCAGATGGTGCCTCCGGGTGGCGCAGTGTTGAAGATTCAGACACTGGCCTCGCCCTTCTTACATATCAACGGCACTGTTAATTTATTCGAGGTCGAGAACTGGCACCTAGAGGCAGACATCACCTCGGGTGGCATCAAGTTCGACGTAGGATTCGGCGGCATCTTGACTTCCAACATGAGCTGCACACTATCTGACTTCCACAACCTGGCGGCCTCATTCCAATACGGCCTCAATGACACTATTTCACTACCCTCAATCGGCGGTATAAGCCTCGGCTCTATGCCCTTGCAGGCACTGGTCGGTGCGCACTTCGCACTGAACACCAGCTCGTCAGACATCGTGCTATCAGTTGGAGGCAGCTTCGATTTCGAGGGCCTGACGCGCAGCTTTGGCGACTTCACAGCTGACGTCAACATCTCAAGCGTAAGTGATCTCCTCAACGCCATCCTCAACAACATCGAGAACAACGCCAGCCAGATATTCGGCGACCTGTTGAACGAAGCTGGTGCGTGGGCTGGTAAGGTTCAGCAGAGTGTCATCACAGGCGTTGAGAACGTCGCAAGCGTCTTGCAAAATGCCTTCAATCAAGACGCAAACCAGGCAGCCGCTACTATGAAGGAAGCAGGCTTCGCAGCCGACACTATAGCCAACGGTCTGAAAACTGCCTATGGTTTGTCGGCCACGGCTGTCGCACAGACTATGCAGCAGGTTGGATTCGCTGCTCAGGAAGTAGCGTCAGCGCTGCAGAGCGCGTTTGGCAATGATGCCGTGGCAATAGCTTCAGCTATTCAGACGGCGTATGGTTGGAGTGCTGACCAGATCAACGACTTGTTGGGTCAGATTGGTTTCAGCGCTGATCAAATTGGCCAAGCCTTCCAACAACTCGGGGGAGAATTTGAAGATATTGGGAATAAAATTTTACATGGTCTTGACCCTTCGAACTGGCCGAATCCTTTCGGTGGTGGTGGCATCTTCGGAGGCGGCGGTATCTTTGGTGGTGGGTTTCCGTAGACGGCTGTTTGAGCAACATGGTTGGTTTGTAAAGTTTGTAAAGTTTGCTGATTTAAGTGTGACGTGTCGGAATAGTATTGATATTATGGTTCTATCATGGATAACTTTTAGTAGTTGCAAGTTGAATATTATTTGAATGGTACTAGTTTAAACAACTGTTCATTCCATAACAAATACCAATTGAGTTCTTGAAATAGTTTTCCAACGTCCCAGTCCTGCCGTTGCCTTTTCCGTTTCCAGATATATCAAAGTTTGTCTTTAAACAGCCACCGTGGAGGGTTGTATATGCTTCCCAGCATCTTTGTCAATGCTCAGCCCATGAGGTGTCTGAATCTCGCCATCCTCACTTGTATCACTCACACTACCCCGGTGGGCGCGTGACTTTTCCCTGTAAAGTCATTAGTTCCATGTCGAAATACTTCTTTGATCCAAACTTACCCATGACTACCATAGACGATACGAATGACCTGAGTCATAGTCACGAGAAGAACAACCATAGTCGCCGAGTAAACATAACCCTTCGGGAACCTAGGAGCCTCGACAGTAGGATACACAAGAAGTGGTATCCAAGCTTGAGTCGACGTAGCTATAGCCGTCATCAGAATAAGCGTCAAGGCTCGTTCCTCGTTGTTATGTCGAAGAATGGTATTCGCCCAGCCATAGAGAACTGAAGAGACTGCAACAGCCGAGTAGCCGACGCTGTAGGCATACCACTTTGCAGCTTCAGGAACGTTCCATATCGCCAGAATGACAAGACCAGTGAAGTTGATCACCGAGGCAAGAGTGATCGCTGCAGGTCTTCCGATCCATAAATCGGCGCTGAAGTTGATGAACAGGACGAAAAAGATGCCCAGAGCTGGACTAATTGATCCAAGCTGGTTCACTTTGGTAGTGCTGTAGCGATCCAAGCTCTTGATCCAAAGCAGGAAAGCAGCCGTGTTGGCACTGGTATTAAAGAATAAAATGTCCCAGAACACGAGGATGTAGAACTGCCAACTCGTGAAGATACGGCGGAGCAGAGTCCAGGAGAACGGTGTACTTCTGACCTTGGACCCATTGCGTTCGAGACGGTCTTTTGCAAGGGCGATCTCAGACTTCTTCATGACCAAGCGGTTGGGCTTATCGGGCGTGCCAGGCCAGAGGAAGTAGCCCACAAAAGCCAGGGGCAGGGTTATGATTGCATTGATGATGAAATTCCATCTCCAGCCAGCAAGACCATTATGGCCATCAAGATATTGGGTCGCAGCTCCTTGGAGAAGACCAGCAGTCATCGTCCCAAGAGTAAGGCCGATATAGAACAGCCCGCCTCTTCGGCCAATCTCATCTGATCTGTACCAGCTTCCGAGCACGAAGTGAACGCCAGGAAAGTACGATGCTTCAAAGATGGAGACCAGAAAACGATATGCCATTATCTCCGCGTAGCTCGTGGCGCGGTATTGAAGGAGTGTGAAGATGCCCCATCCTGGTAAAGGTCAGCGGTCAGTTGAACACGCTGTGGTGGGAGGCATACCAAGGTCAAGACTAGGTACCAGGATATGCATCGGAACACGAGGGAAGAGGTAAATGAACGGCAAAAGACCGACGACGTTTCCCACGACGAATATCGTCTGGAACTGGACTAATTCGTTGCCATGAAAGCCTAGATCTTCTGCCATGCCAGAGACGTAGGCATTATCTGATGAGGTCAGCGCAAGACACCACTGGAAGTAGAAGGTGGAGCTTACTGATGTTGGTCTGGTCGACATACTTGACCCAGTACAGCACAAATGCGTAAGGGACGAGTAGAAGGTCGAGCTTCAAGATGAGCTTCTTTTCTTCAGGCGTGTCGGTTGGTGCGTACCAATGGTACCACTTTCTCGCAGCTAGTTCAGACATGTTGCCCTGTAGGTGAAAATCATATTGTGAGGTCAGGGAAGCGGTCTCATTTATGCTGGTCCCTTACATGCCATGCACGGCACGGCCTTTACCAGAAATCTGGGTCGCATCCTGGTCAAGTCGTCAGATATCCATCAAGCACATCAACGTTAAGTCCGTGGGGTAGACCATCTCTCTTTCTTACAAATAACGATAGGTTACATGCTTCCGATGGGGTTTTGCGTCGACGTCCAATACTATGGCTGGATCTAATCGGTTTTGTGGTTTAGTAGATGCTAGTTACGATGATGCCATCTCCAAGAGCATTGCGTGCGGCGTGGACTACCATACTCGGCATTAATAACCGCACAATCTCCGCTAGCGGAGAGCATTTGATGTAACGACCAGTGAGCAAAGACTTATTATTCGTATCAAGAATTAACTATCATTTGAGGAGTATCGTCCATAAATTCTAATCGTCTCCATGTCGTCATCCCATTCTATTGGCACATTATGAAAGAAGGAGTCCTAGCTACCGCTTTGCAAATCGAAATTCTTTCCTAGTGATACTTATGGTCGCCTCTACCTTGTGGCGAGATACTGTCGTACCTTGTAAAAGGCAATGCCCAGAGCCCAGATGACAAGGATGACGATGGCTTGGGCGGGAGCAAAGATGGCTCCACGGATAACCACAAATCCGCTCACCAAAACAAACACGATTGGGTTGATTGAAAATGTCTTGTAAGGTCTCTCCAGATCAGGTTCACGATATCGTAGGATGATAGCACCGAGAACCGTGAGGAAGAAGAAAGAGTACTCCCCCAGACCGTTCAAGGTCAAAAGAGCTCTAAAGCTTCCGAAGAGAATGTAGAATGATGCAAGGATGACTGAAAGAATGACGGCGTTGATAGGCGCGTCTCCAGCTTCTTTGGTAGACTCATCTTCCGACTCCTCGGTTTCTTCGGCATCAGGCTTAACGCCGACTCGGCCGACGATGGTGAAGAGACTAGGGATCCAGGCCTTTCTTGCTGCGGCAACGCACATACGGCTTGCGACGAATGAGTTGCCCAGTAAAGAGCCCGCAACGACCAGACAGATGAGAACAGCCGTGACGATACCGAAGCCGCGGCCCAGGAGACGGGTGAGGGCAGTGACGGCCACGCTGTCGGTAGTGCTGACGACGTCCCACGGGAGTAGAACGTAGTATCCAGCGTTGGCGGCAAGGAAGCAGATGATCGCTGTTGGGATTGAGGTGTTGATAGCAAGGGGAAGTTGTTTAGCGGGCTGTGAAAGCTCAGCAGACACATAGATGGCCTAGACATGTCAGCGCGAGACCATGTGTAAGCATTTAGAAACTCACCTTGTCCCAACCAGAGTAAGCCCAAAGAGCGGCATACAGCGCAGCAGAGTAATGTCCAAAGATCTCCCACTGACTCAATTTGCTCCAATCCGTATCTGGTCCATTCGGATTATACGTATCTCTGTACTCAAACCAATTCTTCTTAAACCAATCACCTCCCCCTGCTTCCTTATCAGGATGCGTGGCATGAACGCCGACGACAGCCAACGCAGCCATGACCACGACAAGAATACTCACAAACTTGAGAACCACGAAGAAACCGTTGAGCCGAGTACTGGCTTTGGTGCTGATAGAGTTTGCGACGCTCATCACAATGAGTACCAGAATAGAGAGGAGTTTGTGCGATATACGGTGGTCTTCGTTTATGACGCCTGCAGCTGAGTAGGCGCTTTCAACGAAGACGATGGAGAGGATTGCGAGCGTTGCTGGCATGACGGTAACGATCCATGTCCACGCTGCGAGGAAGCCCCAGATATCGCCATATATATGCTGGAGATATGGTTGAACACCACCTGTACCTTATTAGACAATCTCCACGAGAACAACCAGAATGAATCTTACCCTCGCCAGGAATAGCAGTCCCAAGCTCAGCAAACGTCGTAGCACCCGTCCAAGCCAAAACACCACCAATCAACCAAATAACCAGCGCCAAACCCGGCGACGGAACATTCGTATCGATCGAGCCGGGAGAAGTAAAGACACCACTTCCGATAACGATGCTGACGACTATACCGAAGGCTTCGACGGCGCCGAGGTTACGCGTAAAGGTACCCCGCGACGCGGCTGCATCGTGATCTGCTTGGCGATGCTCAGACAGAAGAGGCTGCTGACTCGCGTCTTCAGCGCGCTCTGAAGACATGTTGAGTTGGGGTTTTAGGAGAGGGTTGTAGGGAGGATGGTGAAACAAGGATGAGTCGATAGGTAGTGAGATGGAGTCATGACAGGATGGATCATGGGTCATTGCGTGACGCGACGGGTAATCATCGGCTATGACGTGATGAGTGTCTCGTCACCGGATCAACAATCCAGCTCAAAGAAACGTGACAAACAAAGTCTACCTATTTTAAGCTCAATATATATTTCTGCTTCCGTCGTATATATAGTTCGAATTGCCGTTGGAATGATTGTCGTTTGGCTCTAGAAGCTCAACAGAAGCTTCGGGGTAAAATGCCCCGAGATGAAACACGTCAATGTCACTTTGCAATCAAACAGCCCCAATTTCTCTTGGCAATTCGATGATCCTGAACAGATTCTCTTGTTTCAACAATTAAACATAGTAAACACCCTGTTCTGAAACTCCATATTGAAACCGCTATAAACCGAACCATCAAAAGTCCACCAATCGAGCAACTTCGGTTCGCACGTCCCAGTTAACCTTGAACCAAGCATAAAAACAAGATGATCGCCCAGAGTATCGTCCCGTTACTTCAGCTATCCTCATTCTTTCATTCGTTTTTTTATTTTTAGAATATCACTTTCGTTTTTTCACTCGTTACAATGGGTCTCTTCAAGTCTGCGACTATTGCCCTCCTCGCCGCTGGCGCTCACGCACTCCCTCAGGCCGTGACCCAAACAGCTGATGCCCCAGCGGCAGCAGAGACATACACCGCGAATCCCAACATCGGCCCTGGCGGCTCCAACTTCAAAGACTCAGCGCACTTCCGCATCTACGCTCGTTCCGCCGATGCCACCGCCCAAGCGATCGACATGCTCGAAGCAGCGTACGAATGCTTCGTCGGAACGCTAAAGTGGCGATCGCCTGGTCTTTCGTTCAACGATGAGACTGATTCTGGACCCAAGTACAAAACTAATGTCTACACTGTTGGCGATTTGGGCAGTGCGGCGGGTGTGATGCATAGTGATCAGGCAACGGGCATGGCATATCTTGAGGTCGTTGATCAGTACCTTGCCGTTCCGGGTGTTACCGTTCATGAGTACGGTCATGGAATGCATTATCATCAGAAAGCTTGGGTTAATCAGGGTCGAACTGGTGCTTGGTGGGAGACTCTTGCGAACTGGGTGGCTGATACATACAAGACCTCCGACATTTGCGCACCCGCGCGAAAGAACCATAACCAGGAGACTGCACCCACTGAAATCGAGCTTAAGAAGGTCCTCGGCGATTCTCACCAGGTCATTGTCGATGGATCCGTCGATACTGGTAATTACTACCAAGCTTGGCCTTTCCTGGCTTACTTGACCTACAACCCTGATGACTTTGCCGGTCTGGGTCAAGACACCATTCGACAGCTGCAATTGCAGTACGAGAAGGACAGCAACGAGACCCCTCTTCACACTCTTGCTCGCGTTTCGCAGAACGCTACTGTTGGTGATATCGTCGGTCGCTACTGGGCTCGCATGGCCTACGTTGACATTGGCCATCCAACCGCCCAGGAAGTTTTCTTCCAGCAACGCGCTGATATCCCCTTCGCCAGCATGGAAGCTGCCGGAATGGGATCCTACAAGCCCAAAGCTGATCGTCAACCTCGCTACATGGGCGCCAACATCATTCCTCTCGATGTCGCGGGTACATCACTTGAGGTCAAGGTTTCCGCTGATGCTGAGTTCGTCGCTACTGTTGCTATCTACCGTGAGGGTGGCGAGTCTTCTTATGTTACGCTTACGGATGGTGCTGCTACTGTTCCTGTTCAGGCTGGTGATGATGTCAGTGTTGTTGTTGCCAATGCCCCTGCTAAGCTTATCCTGTACGACGGCTTTGATCTGAGTGCCGAGGTTTCTAAGGGCCTTGATTATACCATAAGCATTACTGGTGCTACTGTCAAGGCCTAAGCTCTTCAAGAGTGTTTTGTTCGTGTATATAGAGTTTATACTGTAGAGCAGTTAATATTGAATGGCAAGATAAGGCCTAGATGCCCACGTTATGCAATTGATTCGATCGGTCGACCGGTCGATCTGTCCCTTTTCAAGGCGCTCCCAGAAGACTATAAAACGTACGAGAATACATCGGGAGGAGCCCTCTCCTCTATACCCCCGGTCTCTAAGCTGATATCAGAAGTACTATCAGAATGAAGTCAAGCTAGAGGTATCCTAGCCAATCCATATCTTCCCAAACTAAATCTGTACCGAGATAGTCAAGTATGAAAGAATCTAACCCTTCAGGTAATGGGGAGGCACTGTTTTCCTCTGCACCCTTCGTATTATCCAACAGACCTTGGAGAAGCTTTCGACTGCGAGTGCAACCAGCGTCAAGTGGCTCCATCTGAGAGAACAGTTCAATTGCTTGACAAAGGGATCCGTAACACTCCAACTTATCTGCTTCTTGTTTGTCCGATATCAGCCCCAGAACGAGGACCAATGCCACCTGAAAAACGTTCCAAGCGCTGTTCCAGCAAAGGAACTGGTTTGGAACCCAATCCAGGACCATCAGATCGACTCCCTCCTTTGCAACCTGGATACATTTTCGTGCATGTGCTGCTTCACGGGTATTCTCTTGACCCCATGGCTTCTGACGCAGCGCTGTGATTAATAAACTTGGACGGTAAAGTGTGAGTCGAGTTGTGATCCATCGCCACCAAAGAATCGCTCGCGCAGTATTCACACTTGGCGGACATTGCTCACGGTGAGCCAGAAACATATGTAACGAGTCTTTCCATACAATAAGCTCGCGGTCGAATTCGTCAACTTCGTCGGGGCTGATCAGAGGTAATCGGGCGAGTCGCTGTTGTACCCGGGTCGCAATCCTACAAAACCTTTCACTGGCGGCGAGGGATATGGTTCCGTAATCCTAGGATGCAGCAATGCGTCTTAGCAAAGGCATCCAAAAGGCGGTCAGTGTGACTTACCAGATCTTGGAGGGCTGACATGGGCGAGGTCAACGTTATAGCTGGGTCCCAATATCCGTGACTAGGGCGTCCCAAAGTGGACGAGGCCCACGTATCCAGACACAGTATAGACCACCAAGTACGTATCCGCGTAGCTGTCGAGCCATTAGCGGGATGGCAAGCTGCATTCGTAGAGGGCTGCGAAGCCTGAACTCTATGCAAGCCCATTGCGACGGCCATCTGTAGGGTTGCTCCCATGACAGCAACCGCCATGTTCGGTTTGTTGAGAAAGTGAAGCACCATTCCACTATACAGAGCCAATGCTTGTACCATGTAGAGGTGACCGGAACCAAAAGAGTTGATGTTTAGATGAGGCAGAGCTCGCTTGTGAAAAGGGTTATGCGCGTTGAAGTGCATCGAGTCTGACGCCATTGAGCCCATAGCTAGCACCATGTTCATCAGAGCGAGCCATGGACCAGCTTCATCCTCTTCCGTATTGGATTGGAGATACCGCTGACGAAAGTCGGCTTCGTCTACCATTGGGATGACGGGATGGACATGGCTGAAGTAGGCGTTTATAAGCGGTATCTCATCTACTTGCAGGCAGGCCATGTCACTTGGACTAGCAGCCAAGGTTGATGGACTCCGCCAAGCTTCGGAACCCTTAGGAACTCGTTGCTGGACATGAGGAGAGAGATGGGCGATGACTTTCAGAATAGTAGGGACCGAGGATATACCCAAGTATGAAGCGTTGAGCGATTTTCGTGAGAAGGCAAGTCCGTTGACATCGTCTGCAACGCGGGACGTCTCGCTTTCGGTCTCGGATACTTCATCCCAAGTGAAGTTTTGTTCCACAGACGGTTCTAAAACCTGCAGATGATCCTGCGGCTCGGTGTCGGTAGCAGGTGTAGGTGCCTTGGAAGCTTGCAGTCGTATCAGCAACTGCTGACGGGTCATGCAGGAGAGTTCCTCAAGTGAGCTGGAGGGGAACAACGCTTCGATGACCTTCCGGGCCTTGGCATAACTCTCGGTAAGTTCGGCGTGAGATCTGTTAGTTCAGCGTCAGAGCAGGCCCCCCACTTGTTCAGACGCGCGCGCTTACTTTATAGATACATTGTGTCTCTTTTTCCTAGCAGGATAATGGCAGAGATGTGGAACGAGGTAGTAGACGCACTGCCGACAGGGAAAGGTCTGGCCTTCGCATTTGACTCGACGACGTCTGCATTCGGCGCAGGATGAATTGGCCCGGGGCTGTCGGCCGGTTGTCTCGGAGACAAAGGGGAGTTCCATGGTTGACATTTGGCCCCAGATTCAATGAGAAGAGTTCCGGGTGGTGATAAGAGACATGGACGGCAAAGGAGAAACCTTTTGTCGACAGATTAGAGGCTTGGGCTTAAAGCTGGCTAGGCACAGAGCGAGCATCGCGGGCGCAACAAGCTTAGGCAACAGTTTAAGTCGTGACTTGGTGGCGCACCGACGGCACCAATGAGGCTTTTTGCTATACACGAGCCTGTTTCAGAACTCGGGACATCAAGGTAAGGCAGATAGCATCCACTATTCGGATCCGAATTTCACGGACACTCTCGATAGTTGGTGATGCTCATCTGCCGCTTGACAAAGAAAGAGTACCGAAATAAATCACAAATCCTTCTAAATAAAGTTTAATCACCCAAGAAGGCTCCAGCTACATGAGAAACCTCGGCAGTGTCTCGCCATGAACAAGCTATACCGAAGGGGGAAAGTCATCGGAGCCGCCAATTGGTGGCACTAGTGAGGAAATACAGAATTCCGTCTTAGCTCACGGCATGTCCGAAGCTAGCTTGTTAAAGAGCTGTATATACAGATATGGTCCTACTATTTCCTTAGCAAAAACAACTTATAAAGAACTTAAATTGAAGCCGGTAATTCAAGAGCTGCCGCCGTTGTTTTAATTTGATTGCAGTTAATTAGCATCCGAAACTAAGAACGATTTCCAACTGGATCCAGGTGAAGAAGACGCTACAAGCCAGGATGCAGTAGGGTAAACCGTAGAAAACATCAATGTTATCTACGAACAAGTACAATTACTATCCAGGCCGCCCTTCTGTTGCATAAACTGGCTCTTCCTGAAGCCTTCATTTGTCTATAAAAAAAAGAATTCTCTGGAAAATCCAGATCGTTCAACAAGAATTGGGCCTTGGCATCGTTGGGATGATAAAGCCGTAAAAACTGGTCGTATGTCCAGAAGTGCTCACCACCAAACGGTTTAACATCAAGTTCGTTGGTCCCAACAAACGGCTCTTGCATCATAGAAATTACCCGCGAGCGATTGATGATCTTGAAACAGATGAAGGGTATCCTATTACCTATTACTTTGACTAGGTCCGGGTGGAAAACTGTTGGGACGTTGTCCGGGGTGCCAACGCCTATGTCGTAATGTTTCACTTTTCGGCCCGAAGCCAGATCAATGATATATGTTTCAGCAGTCATGTTATCAGATCAATGAAAAAGACAATGGGAGCATAGAATGGGGGTATATAGGCCCGTGAGTGGTGTGTTTCGAGTGACATTGGGGTCTAAAACGATTCTCCAATACCACCTTGTTTCCTCTCATGATCACCGCTCAAAAGCCCCAATCCCGTACAACCTACGTCAATATGCCACGTTACATTTGTTTCTCACATATCAGTGGCCACCATATCATTCCACCACCAACAAGCCAAGCACAAGAATGCAACCCTCTACCACGTATATTCCGACTCTTTAGGGTGACGGGCTAATGCGGCAGTTCGGAAATCTGTAACCCCGTCCTAGTGCGGGTCCACACCATCGTGAGATCACTACCGCTTCGAGTCTTCCCCGCATGCCCGTCCTCTAATGTTATAAGAAGTAGTTACAGTTGCGATGTATATCTCCAGGCGATCGACCTGTAGTATCCACACTCTTAACTTTATCATTCAATCACTCAACCTTCACCATGTCCAAAGAGCTTGACCAGTCTCACAGTGAGCATGTCCATGATGCCAGCAACGAAAAGAAAGAAGCAGTGCAGACCCCAGAAGCCATCGCGACCGCGCTCAACAATGTGGGAGCTCCCTCATTATGGGGCAAAGGGCATCTCAAGCTGTACATGGCTTGCGCGCTCATCTACCTGTGTTCGACCATGAACGGTTACGACGGCTCACTCATGGGTTCAATCAATGTTCTCTCAGAATATCAGGAATACTACGGGCTGGGTGATACTGGGTCGACCTCAACTGGCTTGGTATTCTCCATATTCCAGATTGGACAGATGGCGGGCGCCTTGTTCACCTGGATATGCGACTGGAGGGGCCGCAAATTGACTCTCGCCGTCAGCTCGTTCCTCATCTGTGTATCTGCTATCTTCACTGCAGTAGCCCCGACTTTGTCTTCGTTTATCGCCGCGAGATTCCTCCTCAGCTTCTTTTCGACCATCAACACCGTCGCTGCGCCGATGCTTCTCGTCGAGATTGCTCCTCCTCTACAACGAGCTACGGTTGCGGGAACGTATAACACTTTATACTATATGGGAAGCATTATTGCCACATTCAGTATGGTTACCCTGGTTTTAACTCAAGTTGATCAATATTACTCACTGGATACTAGCAATGTACGGTGCCAACATCCATTTGAGCGGCAACATCAAGTGGCGTCTTCCCCTCTGGCTGCAGATGCTCTGTCCCGGACTCGTCTGCCTCGGTAGCTGGATGTTGCCCGAGAGTCCGAGATGGCAGGTTGCTCAAGGAAGAATTGAAGCAGCCCGCGAGTTCATTATCAAGCATCACGCAAACGGCGACGCAGATCACCCGATTGTCGCCATTGAAATGCAAGAGATTGAGGATTCACTTGTTGAGGTTCGAGGCCGTTCCCAGTGGGCTTGCTTCGATCTACGAAGCCTTTACAAGTCTCGCGCTCGCCGATATCGAATTATGCTCGTCATCGCCATGTCTTGGTTTGGTCAGTTTTCCGGCAACAACGTTTCGAGTTACTATCTCCCATTGATGGTGGAGAATGTCGGGATCACTTCTACGAACATGGTGCTTTTGTTGAATGCGTTCTACGCACTCTCTGGATGGGTGGCTGCTACAATTGGAGGTAAGTAAAACCCACAAAGAAGGGTGGCAACTTGTTTAGCTTACAATCATGGATCAGCTCGTCTACACGATATTGTTGGAAGACGCAAGATGCTGATGGGCTCGTGTTTGAGTATGTCTATTGCGCTCGCTATTGTTGCCGCCACTGCAGCAGAGTATGAGCGATCGGGTAGCACACCTTCAAGTTCAGCAAGCATTGCGTTTATCTTTATTTTTGGGGTTGTCTTTGCCGTCGGGTTTACTCCAATGCAGCCCATCTATCCAGCAGAGGTTTTAGCTAGTGAGTCTCCTACTGCCTGACATGACCTATCACTGACACAGACAGATGATATGCGAGCCAACGGTATGATGGTCTTTATGATCACCTCCGGCTGCGCAGGGTTCGTCAACACTTTCGCAGCTCCGGTTGCTATGAAGAACATTCGGTACTGGTTGTAAGTGCATCTTTGAAGCCACCCTATAAACAATGTCCCTAATTAACACTTCATGATACAGCTACGTGTTTTTTGTGTTCTGGGATCTCTTTGAGTTTACCTTCATCTACTTTTTCTTTGTCGAGACCAAGGGCCGGACATTGGAGGAACTCACCGCTGTATTCGCAGCCAAGAATCCACGCAAAGCGAGTACCCGCCGGATCTCAGAGCCTGACTGTTAGACAATCCACAACGATCAGCTCTCTAGGAGGTTAAATTATGAATCTGATAGCTATAGTATTAGTGTATCTAGCAGATATGCCAACGACAACTATGTAAGAGCACTAGTACATCAGTGGGTGATAATAATTGTGAGGCGCCAACGGGGAAAGAAGTGAATGGCAAATCCAGGATGATCTATTGATCAGTAGATCTCCCTGTTAACAATCTTTATACACCTGCTACTGTACTTTTAGTTCATAGAAAGTTGAAGGTACTTTAGATCATTATCCCTCTAGTTCTGGTTGGGAGAATACAATGAGCTCGCTATGCTTACTCTTACGATACTATGAAGAAGAAACCGCAAGACGGTGGAGCTAATGATTAAAGTTTATCCTTAAACATGTTTCTTTTTATTAGGGGTTAATGAGAATAAGGAGATCATGGCGAATATGGTGCTAGTGGCCCATGAGCACTAAGCCGGACTTTCATATTCGCGTCCAAGCTGCTTCCAAGAGCCGATTGATCCTTGTCCCGGCAGACCAGATTTGATCTCCGAGACTCTGCTACACGCTAGAGTGATATTTTGTAATTCCGTTCAGGGTCACCCGAAAGCCAAGAGTGCAAACTGTTCGCTAATACCCCGCGATCTACGAAAAGAAGGTCAAAATCCGGGGAAGATCTGAAGGTCACGATGTCAAGTCGATCGATTCGTGAACGGAAGAAGCAAGGGTCTCCAGCTTCCGATGCTTAATTAAGATCTAATCAAGAACATCACAACCCTTTCCCGCAGTCCACCCTGGTATTCCCGACTCAGCACCTACGGATATCACTAGAGCGTTAGCTTGTCGCAGGTAGATTTGGACGCTGGGACCAAGCTCGGGCCGTTTCTTTGACCCTTGGGCCAATGTAACCTTCAGGAGCTGGTGACGTCCATACTGTAGTTAAACTCCTATATAAGATGAGATTACGACCACTCGAGCTTCCAACATCAGTACCTTCATAAGCCTTGAATCATCCTGAAATACCCCCACACATTTGAGATCAATGAAGAGCTTCAGTCTTCTCGCATTGGGTCAGGCTCTGCTTGCAGCAGCCACTCCTCATGGCTCCAAGCTCCCCGCCCGCCAACAAGGCAATAGCTTCGCAGGCGTAAACTCCTTCTTCCTCCATGCTTTCAAGCAGTAAGCTTCAACTATTCACGTAACAATCAGGATGTCAACTGACATCCGTACAGGCAGGATAGATTGGATGTCCTGGATGCCATCAAAGATGCAAATCTGAAGGTCCTACGAATCTTCATTTCACCAACTGGCCAGAACGCCAAGGATACCGGCTCAATCGCAATGCCTGACATTGAGCCCCAAACTGTGGGTGTCTGGGACGACACTCAGCTCAAAGCCATAGATCAGCTCATGGTAGAAGCTCAGGCCAGAGGCATCAAGCTTACCATCGCGATCCATGATCGCTACCAGCTCGGCTGCTGGGGAAGCGATGCTTACGTGTCAAAGTACAAGCTGCCTGCAGTAGATTGCAACACTCAGCCGGCTAGCGCCAACAACGTCGAGTTCTGGTATTCTGACAAGAATTGTATTTCCGATTTCCAGAACCGTATCCGTCATGTTCTTGAACATAAGAATACACTGATCAGCGGGAGCCCAGCGTGGAAAGACCTGAATAGCCATATCTTTGCGTTCAATATCCAGAATGAAGGGCAGGGCCATTTGAATAACAATATCCCTCCTCATCCGTCGTGGTGGTGCGATCGAGCTGGCTTCATGCGGGGTATTATGGGTAGCAGCAAGGTTCTGATCTCCACTGGTAAGTCATCACGCACACAGAGTTCTCAATTCCATCGCTAACGCAAGATCTTAGGTGGCGGTAATGAATTTCCCAACTCAGATATCCCGGAGAACTGGGCCTGCAAGGCCTTGGACCTCGTCACCATCCACTCCTACAGTGGTGTCAACGAATTCAAGAACAAGGGCCCAGTTGCGCTGCAGCACGCCAAGAGCGCCAACAAGCTCATGCTCTTTGAGGAGTTTGGTGCCACTGGGAGTAGCAAGTCTACCACCGTCGGACAGCATATTGAGGTATTTAATGGTCTCGGCGTGCCGTGGATGCCCTGGCAGATCAGCAAGCCTGGAAACAAGGCGAATGATTATGAGTTTTGGACTGATGAGCCTACTTATGATGTCGTTGAGGATGGCTCGAATGACGCTTTGGCAAAGAGCGCTGCGCAGACGTGGTCTATCTAGAAGCTATGAGGAGCGTTGAGTCTGGTCAAGCGGAGTTTCAATCAACACGAAGAGACCAATTTTACTGTAAGTAAATACGGTGCGGACGTTGTTCTAGTTCTCTCTCAATTAAGATTGCAGTCAATGGCTCATGGCTATTTTCGTAAAAGCTCGTATCAGGTCCAATTATCTTGGAAGCTCACAACAGACTAAGGAGCGTGGCGTCAATAGCCAAGTATTTCAGCCTTGTAGCTCAATTTAATGACACTTGTAGCTAGTGTACCGGTCGATCGGCACACCAAAAGCTAATAGCCTCTCACTAGGATTCAATGGTTCCAGATTTGCGAAATTACAAGCCCCTTGCCCACGATCTATAAACAAAGATCTGTCCCCCAGTCTTGGCACTGCATTCATCACAATCGTTCACTCGTTTCTTCGCTGACCCCATTCACTCGTTTTCATGATGCGTTTCTCACTAAAGACCCTGTCCCTTTTCGTGCTCTCGTCCCAGGCCGGTTTCGCCCTCGCGGGACTCTGCAAACCATCGACGACTACAACAGCGGCTGCGACCACCACCACCTCCTCTGTCCCCGAAGGAACCCCCATCGATGCCGTCCTCTCCGATGGAAGTGTTGTGAATACTTACCTCAACGACGTGTATCTCAGCGATCAAGGAAACACCCCCGCAACCTTCATCCTCGAGCCGACAACCGGTCGCCTCACCACGAACATTGGTGGCATCACATATTACCTGCAAACTGTTATCCCGCTTGGCCCTCAACTCTCATTCCAGTTTGACACCTATCAAAACATTGTGAACAATCAGTACCGATACTTTGTCAAATGCGACGTTGTCGCGGGCTTTCTGTCGTGCGCTTCTGAGAGTGGCTCGACACCTGTTTATTGGCACATTGAGAGCAACAACATTTTCTATGGCAATCAGAACATACTCACTGGCGTCACTACTGCCCAGTTCAGGTTCCAGTAGAGCGGGCTATAGAGCGACTTGTGTCGAAACGCTTGCCTAGCAATTGGTGATGTGTGGAGGAACACATGGGCACTGGTGCGCTGTACAGGGGAATGAAGACCGTTCATCAGTTGGGGCTTTTGAGTCAGAATTATTTCTCATTCATTGTATATAATTCAGGAAGTAATGTCGCTGCTTCAATAAGTGATTGCGCTTCTCCTTTCTCGCTTGCATTTTCTCTTTAGAGTCGAGAGCTGTCTGGGACTCATAGGCCCTGGATTCTCAGTCAACTCTGTCCTCTAACCGTCCGTTTCCATCATTTCCTCCTCCGTTTCCACCATTTCCTCCTTTGTTTCCGACGTTTCGGGTTTCTTATCACGGTAAATAAGCCAGCCGATCGTAGGCTGATGACGATATCCACGGAAAGTTGCTGGGTTAACAATACCTGACTCGTTGCGGGAATGCGCGAGTAAACCTCCAACCACAGTACAGTCCATGGGACCCTGACCAAAGTCGACTCGAATAGGTATCGTTGCAACAGCAGAAGGCATTTCAATATCGAATGTGAAACCTCCCGGTTGTATAAGTTTCCGCGGGTCGAAGAAGTTAAAAAGCCAACCACTCATCCGTCCGAAGCTGTCTGCTTTCAGCATATCATCCCAGAATTCCCCCTATGGTCCAGGGTTTAGCACATCGATTACAATGTGAGTGGTCGGAAAGTGGGAAAAGCTACCAACTCGTAGCAAGTTGTCCAGAAACATCAAATGATGTGATATCGCAACCGCCAGTTCCGTGGACAGGTTTCTGAGATCCTCGAAATTTCTCCGCAGTTTGTACCAGTCCTCTCTACCTCCCGCTATAATAATAGCCCCGCGATTATAAGCCGCCACGGGCATGTTGAATTTCCGATGGTGTTGAACTTGGTAATTTGTGCCGAGTAGTATGAGAGCGGCCGCCCCGGTTTCCGATTCCGCGGTGGTGCTGAAACGGGGAAGAAGAAGCTTCGCGGCCTCAAGACCAAACTTTTTTAAAACCATATCGCATAAGCTATTCACTAAAGCTTTTTTGTCTCTGAGTTGTTCGTTCAAAAAGCTCGGGATCTCCTGTGTTTGCCGAGGTTGAAAGACTTGGTAGATGTAGGATTTCAGCTGTGCAAGAACAGCAAGCCAGATATGATCCACCGAAAAGATAAGTCCAGATTGCCTGTCGAAGACATCTGCTGCAGCCCAGATGAACCCATTCTGAGAGGCCACGATTTGGGAAGGGTCACCCTCGAGGTGAAGATTGAATACGCCATCACTTTTTTTGTAGTCGTCGGGAGATATCCTTTGGAGGATTTCAGCCCCGCGTATCGCGGCGACTTTGGGATCGTTGAGGTTCGTTGTTTGTATTGGCGTATCCATCATCGCCATGTTGGATATGTGTTTAAGTGGAAAGATAGTTGAAAGTGCTTTGTTGGGTTTTGTTCTGGTGTGTTATTGATGACGGGGATGATGAGATGATGAGAGAGGGAGAAAGATTGCGGGAGTGACTGGAGAAAGAAACTTTGAGTACGTTGTTCCATCAGAGGGGCAAAATAAGTATCGTGCTTTCCATTTCGACGAGAACTCGAGAAGAAATCTGGTGTTTTGAGAAAGCGCTGGCTCGACTTCTTTCTCACCTCTGATCAACCCATCAGCCTAACAGGCAAGCGTACCTGCATTCTGATGGTAGGCTTTTGAAGCCAGTGGAAGGAGATAATCGCAGTTCAATTACAATGCTCAGGGCCATTCCATTCGGCTACTCATTCTTCGTGAGTTGGTGCAAAAAGAATGCCAGATGCTGTTGCACGAGGTCAAAAAACGGTGTTTGGTGGAGTCTAACCACCTGCGTTGGACGAACAGGGAATCGAACCCTGGACCACTCCCAGATGCGAGCATCTGATGGACGAAACTTGCTAAGGGAGTATTATACCACTAAACCATTCGCCCGGAATTGTTGAGCGATTGTGTCAAATTGCTGTCTACATTGCGCGAGCAATACTGGTGCTGTGGAAATTGATCGGCTATCGCGAATGCCTTCTGTTGACTGGAGCAGTAGCCATTGAAGTTTACAGTGATGATATTGGTATTTCGAGTCTTTTCTGGAGATTGAGTTTTGTAACGGATTGAAACTTTGGGCGAGAGAGTTTATGGTTGAATAGTATTGGCTTGCACCGTTGTAACGGTGATTTTACAAAGTTCAAACATCATCACAAAAGAGTTATACACATCAGCCCAAAACTTTTGCAATAAACAAAAAATCACTAGCAATCTACCAAAAAAATACAAAAACTCTTCTATACACTTTTCCCCTTACTGCGCAGCAACCATCGCCGCAGCAGGCTTAACCTCAACCTCAACATCGTCAATCTCCATCTGCAGGGTAATCTTCTCCCAAACCGCCGAGTTACCCAACTCCTCAAACGTATCCTCCACCACCCTCGCCGTCCTCTCCACAATCTCATCAACATCCTCCTTCGACACGATAAAGGGCGGACAGATCAGAAAATGATCTCCACTGTACCCATCATATCCTCCGTTAGCGTTGAACAGCGCGATTTCGTACCCAGCGCTCATTCCGCGCGTGTGCAGCAGGCCATTGAGCCCAAGATCATACGGGAACGGGGTCTTGGTCTTTTTGTTGGTCACGAATTCAACGGCCCAGAAGAGTCCACGCCCGCGGATGTCGCCCACGTATGGCATCGGGAGGAGGCGCTCTTTGAGCTTGGTGCCGAGATACGCACCCATTGCGTCGACGTGCGAGAGCATGTTTTCGTCGCGGATGATTTGTTGGACTTTGAGGGCGGCGGCGGCGGCTTGGGGATGGGCCATGTAGGTTTGACCGTGGGCGAAGCCCTTGCCGCTCTTTTGGAAGGACTCGACGAGCTTGGAGTTGATCATGACTGCAGAGACAGGAGCGTATCCCGCACCGAGACCCTTACCGACGACGAGAATATCAGGGACGACATCTTCCTGCTCCCAAGCATGAAGAGTGCCTGTACGACCCATTCCGCACATGACTTCGTCAAGAATAAGAAGAGCGTTGTACTTCTCGCAAACAGCCTTCATAGCAGGGAAATATCCCTTCAACGGCATAGCACAACCGCTCGCCTACAAAATCAGATCAGACCATACCAGGACAAAGATAAGAGACGACTTACACTCCCTCCAACAGTCTCAGCCACAAAAGCGCAGACCTTCTCAGGTCCAATTCTCAAAAACTCATCATCGAGCTCCTGGGCAAGACGCGCAACATACGCCTCGTCGTCTTCACCGACACGCTGTCCTCTGTACGAACTACACGCGGACACGCGAGAAGAATTCTGCGAGATCAACTGCACGAAGGGATCTTTTCGCACTTTGAAGTCACCCAGCGTCAGCGCACCGAGCGTAGCGCCGTGCCATGCTCCCACACGAGCTATGAAGTGGCTTCGCTCAGTCTGAGGGATAGCGAGGTGCGCAAAGTGCGTTTTCGCAAGCTTGAGCGCGACTTCGACGGCTTCAGATCCTAAGCATCAATTAGCACTCCGTCATCCACGAGGCAAAAGTGTAGAGGCTTACCTGATCCGCAGAGAACAGCCTTGGACATTTGGCCATTCGTAGACTCGACGAGGAAGTCTGCAAGATCTTCCGCCGCCTGCGTCTTGTAGAAACCAGGATGACAGTACGGAACATTCACAAGCTGTTCTGCAACAGCTTTCTGAACGTCCTTGTTATCATAGCCCAGACACGCAACAGCCGCTCCACTCGTAGCGTCGAGAATCTTGCGTCCATCGCTAGTATTCAGATAGATCCCATCTGTCGACTCAATAAGAGCCGCGGGATGTTTCTGAAAGTTTTTGTAAAGAAGACTGTTTGTAGGCGCCATGATGTGATGCTGGAATGTTGATGAATTGAGATTTCCATTGTGTCGCGTGCCTTACTTCTTATATACCTCGATGAATATCAGAGATGTGTTCATTACTCTCCTAGCTCTTGACAATCATTGATAGACAGACGCGAAAATGTTTCGATAAGCCTTAGTCTCCGTCGTGGCTGACCAATATTACCAGGTATGTAGTGTAATGATCCTTTCTGGCGGGCCGCATGAGCCAGGGCCACAGCAAGAAGCAAGGCGGTGTCTTATACCCAGCCTCCAATCACTCCCTCTCGTCCCATTCTACAGCATGTTTTTGATCTACGTCAAGTGTGAGACACGGGCCAAGAAAACTATTCGATGCTGTCTCATCTCAGCTGCAGCTGCAGCGTCGATCTTTGCTGCTTACAGCCCGCCCTTGGGAAAAGCGGCACGGGCGGTTGCACCCAGAGGCGCAGACAGCTACTTTAAGGCCTTTCCCATCTTTACTCCTCGCATCCTTTTCACCATCTTTATCTCTTATTGGATATTCTTTGTTTATATCGCTTACTTTCTAGAATTGCTGAACTGCCGAGAGTGGAGAATGGATGTCCCGTTCAAGGATGTTGTCTTTGATACGGCAGATCCTCATGGATCAGCCCTGTCGCTTCTTCCGCTCCTGTTCCCCGATCGGAAGATCGACGAGATGCGTGTTTCCGCTTTGACTCAGGGCACGACAAATGGCGTGAGTATTGCCTCATACAGACCTCCCCTCTACCAAGTACACGGGACTTTTTCGCTAAAAAGCAAAATTGGCAGCTTTTCAAGGTTACCATCGATGCAAGCACGGCAGACGCAGTGCTGATCAAGGTCTACGGAGATGGCACGGACATCACCATTGATCGTGAGAGTACGTACCCATCCCCCCAATGCCCTGCTCCCCGAGAGTCTGCCACTCGTCTGGAACTTCCGTCTTGGATTCGTGTCTAACGTGACATGTCGCGACAGAGGAACTCAGGGTGCACAAGCTCCTGGCTGAGCGTCAACTGTCTTCATCTCCACTGGTCCGCTTCAGCAATGGACATGCCTATCAGTTCATCTCTGGGCGAGTCTGCTCTGAAGGCGACATGTCTGAGACCAGAATTTTCCGCGGTGTTGCGAGGGAGCTGGCTCGGTGGCACGCGACACTTCCTACAGCGGACCCTGAGGACGTCTTGACCTACAAACCAGGCGTTTGGTCCACCGCGAAGAAATGGCTGGATGCTATATCCAAACATCCCCACCGATCACAGGCCGAAATTGATGATATGCATGAAAAGTTCAAGTATCTAGCCGATGCCTTGTTGTCAACTGACGTGTCAGAGCCCTTGGTGCGTCGTTGGATGTATTTTGCTTGTCTGTCACTAACCCGCACAGGTTCTCGCTCACGGCGACCTTTTGTGCGCAAACATAATTGTACAAGAGCCGGATGATGGCATTGATGTCGCATCAGTTCGGTTCATTGATTACGAGTATGTCATACCCTGCTCTGCAAATGTCCCCAAACCAGAGACACTGAACCACCCAAAGACACGCCACATATTGTCCTCGGGCCTTTGAACTAGCAAATCATTTCGCTGAATGGACCGGCTTCGAATGTGACTACACTCTGCTCCCCAAGACATCAACCCGACGGGCGTTCATCGCAGAATATCTGACGACCTACACCGAACTCTGTCGGGAGCACAACATAGACGTCCCGACTGTCGATGATGCTGCTGTGGATAATCTAATGCGTCAAGTCGATGATCACAGAGGTTTTCCAGGGTTCTATTGGTAAGTTGACATGCTGTCTCACAGGCAGATACGTGTGTGGTGGTACAGGACAAGACACTGATTACACTGCTGCGACAGGGGTCTCTGCGCTCTCATCCAGGCTGAGACAGCGACCGGAACTATTGATTTCGACTACGCGGGATATGCCGCGAAGCGCTTCGGAGAATACGAGGACTGGCGCAGTGTACGGGAGGGAAATAGTCCATCTTTGTCCATGAGGGAGAAAGCCTGGTCAATGCCGTAGACTTGACACCCCCACAGTAAGGCATCAGCGGGCGAGACAAACATTCATCGCCTTAGACAGAATACGTACTACAAGTAGACGACAGAAGAGAAAAAGTCAGACACCTACCTAAACTTGATTGGTCACACGCCGTGCAATGTATGACTCGTCTTGGCCAAAGGGAGCCTCTGGCACGCGCACAGCAGCACATGATGGGCCATGATTCGTCTACGTAGCAGTTCCCCTTTGAGAAGAGGCGCTTTTTTTTTCTTTTCCCTTTTTTTTCTCGCCTGCTTCGGGGAGAGCTGACGCAAAAGCCAAGCCTAGCCCGATCGCATGATCTAGAACATGCATGGGCCGTGCGAGAGAAGATCGACCATCTCAAAAATGATGGGGAGAGAAGAGAAGATATCGGAGAATAAAAAATTCTGCTTAAATGAGGCGAACACTAGAACTGACCATATCAACCTCCTCTCCTCGGGGTTTCTTGGTCTTGTACATATCCCCTTTTTCTTCAGTGCTATCATGGCGGTAACTGGTCGTTTCCTCTCTAGCATCGGCGCCGATGTTTTGTGGCGGTCAAGCCGAGACCTGAAGATCCTCATCCTTCTCCGCTTCATCCGCCTCCTCGGCTATGGAGGCACGACGCTTGTTCTGGCGCTGTATCTCAACGCGCTGGGATTCCACGATGCACAGATCGGTCTTTTCATGACGCTGACCCTCGTGGGTGACCTTGCTATTAGCTTTATCCTCACTTGGGTCGGCGATCGTGTTGGTGTGAGATTGACTGCCGTTGTTGGAGCGCTGTTGATGAGTGCTGGAGGCGTGGCGTTTGCGTACTTTGAGAATTTCTGGCTGCTGCTTCTTGCGAGTATCGTTGCTGTTATTAATCCAAGGTATGTTATCCCTTTTTGTGAGAGTGAGCGAGGAGACTGACGATGTAGTGCGAATGAGATTGATCCCTTCAAGGCAATTGAGGAATCAGCGATTGCCCGCCTCAGCACAGCACATACATGTAATGACATGTTTGCATGGTGGTCTATGCTGGGCATGTTCGGCACAGCAGCAAGTAATCTCCTCACAGGCTGGCTCATCAACGCCCTCGAAGACAACGGCATGAAAAAGCTAGATTGCCACCGCATGATCTTCCTCGGCTACGCCGGTATCGGCCTCCTGAAGCTCATGTGTTCACTCCTCCTCAGCTCCGAAGTCGAGCAAATGCCCCTCCAAAAAGAATCCTGCTCAACCCCCCAATCCGGCATCCTCACCCCCGAAGAAGAATTATCCGATGATGAGACTGCACCTCTTCTTGACGATAACAGCTCCGGCTACGGCGCCGTCCCCCAAACACAAGTCCAAGTCCTCGCCGCCGCACAGGAGAAGCGCCTCTTCACTCCAGCGTCGTTCGACTTCATGTGGAAGCTCTCGCTCGCGCTGATACTTGACTTTGTGGGCTCTGGCCTCGCACAGATCTCGTGGATGACATACTTCTTCAAGCGCGAGTACGACATGCCAGAGGGAGCGCTGGGCTCTGCGACCTTCACCGCCGGCATTATCTCCTCCGTGCTGAACCTCGCGTCGTCACCGCTGTCACGCGCCATCGGACAGGTGCAAACCATGGTGCTATGTCACACGGTAAACTCCATCTCACTGCTCATGGTGTCTGTGCCGGGGAATAAGTACATCGCGCTTGTGATTTTCATCTTTAGAATTGTTACGCGCGAGATTGATAATGCGCCTAGACAGGCGTTCATTTCGGCAGGGGTTTTGGACCATGAGAGGACTTCGGCTATGGGCGTTGTTAATATCACAAAGACGATTGGCAGTTGTCTTGGTTTGTACATCACGGGTTTGTTTGCGGGCTTGGATAAGTTCTGGCTTGCGTTCATTCTGGCTGGTGCACTTAAACTGTCCTACAATGTTTTGATCCTGGCATTCTTCTGGAAGAGGCGTTGAAAAGTATATCATTGTTATTTTACGCATCGTTGTCACTGCATAATTTGTGTTTTTGCATCCTGCATTAGTTAGATTGGTCTAGTCCTGTACCTCGATATCCCAATGGTAGCAAGACCTGTGCTCAACAAGTTTCTCAATATTTGTGCTCTGATAAGGCCCATTCCAACCACCAGGTTCCAGTCGTCATATCCACGACATACTGCGATACCGCTCCGCCGTATCAACTTCATTTCGCGGAGTCGGCCCATGCCGTGCCGCTGTATCAAATGCAATGAAACATATCTAGAACAAGATTAGGTGGCCTCAACACATCTGCCGGCTGAACTCACCGTTCAACATGGCATGATTTGGTATCTGTACAAGGCATTGGGTGCATCCCTGGATACTGCATCTGCGTCAACCCAATTACTTCTCACCACTGACTGAACTATTGATCTGACTTCAGCCGTCTGTGCATGCATATTGAGGTTCCCTTGCTGATCTACTTCAGCTGAATTGGGCCGAAAGTGGCTTGCTGACATCCCCCATTAAGGATGTGATTGATGCCCTGCACTCATCCCCTCGATATCACATTCGTAAGCTCCAAATTGGTATATCCTCCTCATTTCTGTCTTACATGGTGTGCACCTATAATACCCTCAGGGTCTCTCTCATCTACCGTCTCCTTCTCTCATCCAATCTCACAAGCTTCTCCAAGTCATTTCCATTGGTCAATCCTTCACTATGGACCATCTTCTCCATCTCGATACAGACGTCGTCTGTCTCCTCGCCAAACTAAACTCCTACGACTATATCATCGTAGGAAGCGGTTTCGGTGGAGGTCCTTTAGCTGAACAGCTTGTATCCCAACAATACAAAGTCTTGCTGATTGAGCGTGGCCCTGTCATTTTCTCAACCCATGTTCTCAATACCTCTCGCCCTTACTTCAACCGCGGCGCAAGCAACTCCCCCGAGGGCAACGAGCGCGTATATGACGCTGTAAAGGCCAAAGTACAATGCACCGACCGCTCTGACAGTTATGTCGGCGGTCCCGTGTATTGTGTCGGTGGACGATCTAATCTCTGGGGTACTTGGATCCCAGAAATTGGCGATGAGACTCTGGGTGCTTTCTTCCCGACTGATGTTGTTGATTACCTCAAGGGCGAAGATGTCCAAGGATATAAAAAGGCCTTTAGATACCTCACTGACTCACAGCCTGGCGACGTCATCTACCCAGAGGGCGACGGCAAGCATGAAGTTAGCGCTTCAGAGATTGGCGACGCAAATGAGATGCTGAACAATGCCCTGTCTGGCTCACAGTTCGATCTCATGCCCATCGCAGCGCAGTTCAATGCCCCTGCACCGTACAAGTTCGCCCAAGGTGCATACAGCACTACCTTGGGTATCATCAATCGCATGTACGCCAACGACCAGTATCTCTCTGTCCTCCTCAACACAGAGGTCATAGCTGTTCAGCACACTGCTAGTAACACCTTGTGAGTACACCCATTGATAGATCGAGCACCCAAGCTGACCACGAAGGCGCAGCAACAAAAGCGTCAACGCTCTCAAGATCAGAGACAAATCCACCAACACCATCAAAGAGCTCTATGTCGGCAGAGCCAAAGTCATCCTTTCCGCTGGCACAATCGGCACCGCCTCCATCGCCCTCAACAGTGGTCTCGACCACCTCAACCCTTTGGTCGGCAAAGGTCTTATCGACCATAACGTATGCTACGTGCGCTTCGCCAAACAAAAGTCCGACACCGTCACCTCGAAGCCCCTCAATCTCAAAACACACCTCAAAGTCGGTGGCGAAGAATGTCTCGTCACAGTGACGATCAATGCGAATTTCTTCTTGGCCGGAAGTTCCGCGACGCTCAACACGACGCATTTCTATCGTCGTGATGGGACCCTCATGAGTCCTACTAAGGATGCGGCTGATGAGAAGGAGAACTTCGATACCATCTGTGTGCTATTCGAGTTTGTTGGAAAACTTGATGATGAGAATTCTGTGCTCAGCCTTCCGGGCTTGGATCCCGTGCTGGATATTCGCCGACCACCGATCAAGCATGAGGTTCAATGCGCGATGGAGGATATAATTCGTCGAGTTCGAGATGCCTTTGTTGGGCTGAAGCCTAACCAAGCTACGTATGCCGACCCAGGAGTGTGTCCTGATCCTGGACTCAGACCGCAGCATCTGGGCTTCGGAGTGTTTTCTCACGAGTGCGGAACGATGAGAATGGATGGACCGAAGGGAGCTGGCGTTGTAGACTCTAACCTCAAGGTCAAGGGCCTTGATAATCTATGGGTTTGTGATCTTTCGGTTTTGCCTGTTAGTCCTGAAGCCAATCCCTCGTTGACTCTGGCGGCTCTTTCACTGAGACTGGCTGAGCATCTGTGCGGTAAGAATCATTGAGGCAGAAGAAGGTTTTGCCTCCGAGAATCAGTAGGATGAGTGGTATTTTTGCATAATAGTTATCTAGATTGATACTGAAGGATTCATTCATTTGTAATCTAGGCTGCCTTTGATGTCATTCGTCCGTGAACCCCGGCCGAAAACCGGTCGCAGAGCCTAAACTCCAAAGACATTCGGCCGAAGTTCGGATTTAACATTGCGAATATCCATTTATTTTCGGTTCTTTAATTCTATACATAAGATGTCCTGTATCTACACTCTTTCTTCACTCAATCTCAACTCAACTCATCTTCATCCTTCATAAACCAAAGTCCGACAACACCTTCGTTCGTGCCCCAAGCCTAGCCATGTCCGCGCAACAATTTGCAAAAGATCAGCCTGAAGGCTTCTCTAACCGCATCGAAAGAGTTGCCATTGTCGGAGTAGGTCCGATTTGTCACTTATTTACTCGTCACTCTGACATTGAGTAGGCCAGTGGCCGACAAGGCGCCCAGATAACCGAGCAACTCCTCAAGACTCGAAAACACGCCATCACTGCCCTGACTCGCATCGGCAGTGCTTCGAAGTTTTCAGATAAGATTCAGACTATTCCTGTCGATTATGAAAATGAAGTATCCGTCGCATCGGCTCTCAAGGATCAACAGCTTCTCATCATTACCCTCGCCGTCAATGTCGACCCCGAAGTCCATCATCGCATCGTCCGTGCAGCTGGAAAAGCCGGCGTCCGCTACATCATCCCCAACATCTACGCTGCGAATGTGGTCATTGAGAACCAAGGTTCCGTTGACGATTTCTTCCCGGCTGCACCGCCAATCAATCTCCTCAAAGAAATCGAGCGCGTTGGTGTCAGCTCTTGGATCCTTCTCGTGGGAGGCGTCTGGTTCGACTACAGCCTCCCTTCCGGAGAGTCTTTCATGGGCTTTGACATCGACAACCGCAAGGCTACGTTATTTGATGACGGCGAAGCAAAGATAAACACTAGCACTTTGGCTCAGTTTGGTTGTGCCGCTGCTGCCATTGCCAACCTCAAAGAGTTCCCGGACAATGAGGCCGATGAATCCCTGAGTATCTCTCAATTTCGAAACAAACCTGTGTATCTCTCGAGCTTTTATGTCAGCCGGAAGGATGTTCTGAAAAGTATTCAGCGAGTCACAAGCACAACAGATGCAGACTGGGCGATAAAGTATGAGAGCAGCGCTGAGCGAATTGAGAATGGCAAGGCGATGGGGAGATCTGGTAATATCATGGGACTTGTGCAGGCTTATTACTCCTTCATCTTCTCACCCGAGGGTCAGAAGCTGAAGACCCAAGACAAGCTACACAACGGACTGCTTGGGCTTCCGGTGGAGGACTTGGATGAAGTGGTCAAGGATTGCGCCGAGAAGGCGGAGAATAAATTTAGACCACTGTGACAGGATATCTGTGAGGAAACTTTGACCCAATTGAATGCAGACTCAGGAACGGAATATGAATGCAACATAACTGTGGACTTTGTTATTGTAATTCCAGTGAGGAGTAATGTACTCAGACCAATTGCCAACCGCCAGCTGGCAGGTGTGAGCATACAGCCTGATAGGAAAACTGACCACCAATCACTTGCGCCAAACGGTTTTTGCAGCAGCCTGAAAGTACCCAATTACCAACAGGTGAGACAGATTACTTCTCTCCATCCACAGCGCCAGCTTCAAGAGGCACAAACAAACTCAACCTTCGAACTTCAAACTTCTGTGGCGCCATGTCGTTCGGCTTCGGTGTTGGCGATTTTATTGCCGTTGGGGTACTGTGCTGGAAGATCTATTCGCGAGTCTACAAAGTGTCGCGCGACGCACCAGAAGAGCTCCAGGCCCTGATCCAAGAGTTGGGCAATCTCTCAAATACAGTGAACCTGCTCAACGAGGAAATACGAGATCATCAAGAGTGGATAAAACGGGCCGGAGAGAGACGACTAGAATATACGTGCAAAGTCATGAGTCAAGCCAAAGAGACGCTTCAGAAAATGGATCGACTTGCAGACAAATATGCGGAACTCGGCACGGGAGGTGGTTTGGAGGGTTCCAGGCGTTCATTTCGAATCCATTGGAACCGAGTCAAGTACGCATTGGAGGTGTCTAGCATCAACGAGCTTCGTGCGAAGGTTTGGATCCCCGCACAACCAAATGAAATTAAGCCTTAACGTTCTGTAGTTCATGTCTCACAATTCCCACTTAACACTTCTTTTGCAAGGTGCTCAAAAGTTGGTCTATTCTTATTCTTTCTAAAATACCCACTAACGAGCAAGTTCATCTTTGGAACGGATTGAGAAACAACAATCAAAAACGGACATGAAGCTGGACGAGCTTCGGAACCTCATGATAGGCGACCGCAGTTCGCGCGAGAATCCTCTTCTGAACGGTCCGTTAGAGGAGGAAGTTCGAGCAGAGCTTAGCGCAGCATTCTTGCGAAGTGCAGAGACTGGTAATAGGCCTTGGGCCTCTATTGGGATAGACGACTGGCTACAAGCCGGTAAATGGTGGTTGTTAAAGGTACCAGGCAAATCAGTCATCACGCATTTCGCTGTCTAACCTTTGATCCAAACAGGCTCGTTCACAGATGAATCATCTAGCTCAGGGGTTGGCAGTTGAAGCTGAGGCCTATATCAACCTTCTCAAGGCATGTTGGATACTGATCGATATTGTCTCTATACATCCACAACGCATGCATTTAGGTGCATCTAACGACAGACGAAATGAAGACATCCGAAAACTCAGTCAGGTAAGAAGGTTTGATCTTTTTTCAATTCCGGTCTTTAGACTGACCATCTCAGACCGCAAGAAAAAGCTTGGAAAGCTTCCCTCGTTTCGATTTTCAACTCCACGATATTGAGGGCTATACCATGAATATATGGCTTCAAGAAGCACCCTCAGGCATAATTGCCCCTCGCCATCAGCCGAACTTGACTGGCAGTAATCATAGTTGGCAAACCTCAAACGGAGAAATTTTGTTTCAGTGGTAGGAGAGAATAATGCGATTGGCATACTCGTATCTGATCAGATTCATAGTTTCGTGGAGATTTGTAAGACGACCAAGAGCACCCAAAACCTCCCTGACGAATGTTTTCTTACGTTAGAGGTACCTCATGAAGGCATTTTTCTCAACTTCACTCTACAAAACTTCGCCGGCCAAACCGTCTCTGAGCTTACAGGGTAAGTATCGCAGGTTCCTAGGAGAGGTCAAAATGAAAGCTTACATTCTTTTCTTTAGTCAAGCCTGCTGATGAGTATTTTGACTTTCAGTCGCTTCATTTCGAGCCATGGGTAGAGTTTAAGGGTTCAGAAAAGAAAAGCCTAGTCCGACTCCTGAATGACCAAGGTAGGCCGTTCCTTACCATTACTAGTCAATTACTAACTTTTGTTAGACTCCAATGCCTTAGAGGCAATTCTTTGGGGGTTCCGGCTATTTGGTTCAGCATTTCACCCCATATCATTGAGCGTATCCATGGTTCATTCTGTTTCTGTGTTAGCCAATTGGCCGAGTCGAAATTGGCGCTCTCTGCTGCTTCCAGGCTATGACATTGGCTGCACATCCCAATCCGATTCGCCTACGTTACTTTTAAGGACAATCATTCTCGATCTAGCGGAGAAAGGCTGCGAGAAAAACATCTCAGGCTCGAAGTTTCTCGCTCAAGATCTGAGCGTCGAATTACCACCGGGTTACCGCGACTGGAAGGTTATCTGCTGGCACTGTGAGAAATTCGAGGACATCAAGCCGCTATTCAAAAAGTTCCATGTTCGAAATGATGTACACCGCTACTTGATTCAGACCGCATTTCTTCGACTTGACTGTAGTCTTTTGAGCCAGTTGGCGTGTTACATCAACTACGGAGATACATGGCGCCCTGATGATGTACTCATTATGGTCGAGGCTGCTCTGAGCTCAGAGGATGCTGGATATCTTCTATGGGTCTTGGACAATGTTGCTTCTAGTGTGATTTCTCGGCATCGGATTGCTATCCTCCGGTTAGTCTACAACAGCAGAGGCCTCAACCACATTGAAACCATGCTACAAAGATTCAATCCCCGCCCAGCAGACATCGCAGCAGCCATCTCCTGGTATCTAGTCTCTAACGACGAACAAAGTTTTGAAGGCTTCTTACAACTGATCGAAGACTGTGGCGGCTCTTTCAGCAGTAGGGCAGCTGAAGATGTGGATTTCACGGATTTCTATCCCACTTTTGTGTCCGGTTGCAGTCACTTGATAGAGCGCAAATGTTCCAACTCTCTGAGCCTCTATCTCAGTTCCTTTGAGAGGGTTGGCATTAATTTCCATGGTGTCCAAGGCCATGAAACCACCGATTCCTCTCAATTGGCTATTCTTCCGGCACTAGTCTCTCCAGATCCATCATTTCTTCGCATTCTACTGGAACGAGATGTCGCAGTGGTAGATATGGAACCTTTCGTTGTGGAGTACAACTCATGGAATGTGGCGAAGTGTCCACCGCGGCTAGAGTTGAGGGAGTTAGTTCAATATCCTTCCTTATCAATGCCACATTGGCCCCTCTACTGCGCTGTTATGCTTGTTTGCGATACGGAATTCCTTCACCTACTGTGTCAACATGGGGCATCGTTGCAACAAAAGCGCGAGGGTACGCAAGATCAGAAGACTGAGACACAAGGGATAACTCATCACCTTTCAAGCCTATCAAGTGTGTCAGATGCTCGACTGGAGTACATGGAGGCCCTCATGATTTGCCATGTACTTATTTGTGTCGGCACCCTGGGTAGGCACTTCCCTTCAAGACCTGCGAACTATTTCAGAGCAGTCGATGAGATGACGGACTATGAAGAGACTTGGAGTTGTATGGAGCGCCTTTTATATCGCGATAGCTTCTTCTCTGACTGTTTATGTCCATGTGGCTATGCCTTTCAAGGTGACTGGAAAAGGCGGCCTGACACACGCTCAAAGCTGATGTCTAGATACTCTGAGTTCCCACAACATTATTCTAAACACCTTCGGACACAGGAAACCTGGGACACATGGCGTCGCGATGCCTTAGAGATTCTGAACATGTAAACTTGGGTGGATTCAATTCTCAGATCCGATGCAAGACGATGCAGGTAAAGGGTAACCTTTGAAACTGTCAGCTGTTGGTAATTGCAGTATAGAAGAACTAAAATAGATCTATAAAGCTTCATTCGTATGTAAAACAGAGGAAGAGTAAGGATTGACGGCTTGACGTTACCTAATTCAGGTACTACCGCTTCTGTTCAGAACCTCCAAGCAACTTGAGCTCATGTACGAGAACAAAACGTTAGCTCTAGACCAGATATGGCATGCTACACGAGAGGACTTAGATGTAATAGTCAGGGTTTGTGTTGAGGGGACTAATATCGAGTCCATACCATCTCAAGAGGCTTTTCAGAGCAAACAATAATGACAAAGGCCCCCGAAAACTTCGCATGTATATTCATCCTTAACATGAACTCTAAACTACGAAAAGCGTCCTTGTGACCACCTTTTTGTACATGGGCGGGGCATCTTAAACTGGTTCTCCAAGAATCCTCATTCCATGGTTTCTGGCTCGTGCCTTGTACGACTCCGCAGCCATCGCAATCTTACCATAAGGAAGTGCTGACAGTAAGAGTACAACAGCGAGCACCGGCAAAGCAGTAGCGAAATAGACCCAGAACAGATCATGACCAGGGGAATAGCCATCAGACATACTAAAAAGACTTGAAACCCATGCCAAGGGAACAAACACGAGTGCCAAGAACGTCAGACGTTTTGTGTTTATAGCTTCTAAAATTGACCGTCGGGAGTCAAGCAGCTGAACGAGTGACGTCGCTACCATAACCATCTGCTCGAGAGATTGACTGTAGTCGTGGAGTTGGTCGCGAAGTGCGTTTATGTCTTTGAGGACACCACTCCATACCTCCATGTCATCCTCGCGCTGGATATGGGAGCTGATGACTTCTCCAAGAATGTTTAACTTTTGGTGGCTGCTCTTGCTGCGCCTTCTCCATCGCTGCAGGTCAACCAAGACCTCATCATGCATCCGACCTGTCTTGACTTGGTCGGAGTACTCATAGTACTTCGAGCAACGGCTGGTCAGGTACGTGTAGATATTCCACTCCGATAGGGTGATGTAGATTGGGTAGTATCCAATGCCGAGGATACTTGGGGATTTGAGATCTAGTCCTGGCGGTGGACTCGCCCGCAGGTAGTGTACGATGTTTTCCATCATGGAAGTCTTATCCCAAGTCTCACTAGAGGGTGATTTTCGGAAAGATGAAAAGCTTTCCGGTGCTCTGAAGTCTTCGAAACCGCCATGCGAAACACTTGCTTGGTATTTTGAGGTTCGACCACCGTCAACCGATTGGATAACGGACGTGACAGGAGGGTCAACGAGGAAGAGACCTACTTGTGTTAAGAAGTC